TAGCTACAATCTTCCTGAGTGCTATAGGCTAATAAATTATACAGTCTTTTTAAACAGTGCTATTCTTTTAACGCCGGGACACATTACTTATATATACGCGTGCGAAGCCGCTGGCGAAAGCTAGTTTAAAATTATAAAAGTGTAATAATAGGCTAGCATTATATAGCAGCACAGCTGCGAATTTAAAATCTACATATATCTATACTTACTTATAATAAATCTGTGTGTCACGATAGTGATTCATGATCGATAATGATGCCAAAAATGTAATCTGCAACGGTCTTATTACAAAACAAGGTTTTTCTTTAGTGTAGTTCTAAACCATTGAGCCAGATTATGTATTTCAAATCGAAGGCAAGTGAGAATAAGATTCAAAATACAAAACCTGGCTCAACGGTTTAAACATACCTATACTAAAGATACCTACATCTTGTTTTGTAATAAGGGAGCAAAAGTTTTGCCTGTCTGTCTGTCTGTATATTCCTTAATAAAACAAAAGCTACTCGACAGATTTTAACTAACTTGGTACCTACAATTTTTAGTTACATAGAAATCATGTATCACGGAGGTGTTCTACAAAATATCCTGCAACAGTACCTACACATAAAAGATTATAATGTGTAGGTATGCGAGCACCTCTGCAACGCCATGGGTCAAGATAATAATACTGTGAGTATGGGTCGTTTAGTTATTTTACCTTCATCTTTTTACAGGTGGTCCACGCTACATGCTCGACCGCACCTAATAGTACCTATAATAACATCCATAACAAAATAGTGGAGAATTTTAGTATCAATCAGCATTGCTTCCGAGCGAAGCAGGGGCGGGTCGCTAATCTATACTAATATTATAAAGAGGTAAAATTTGTAAGTTTGTATGTAGGGGATAATCTTTGAAACCGCTGGTCGGATTTCCAAAATTCTTTCACTGATAGATAGCTACAATGTTCCTAAGTGCTATATGCTATAAAACATCACGCTGTGATTAAATGGAGCCGAGCAGCTGGTGAAACCGCGCGAGAATAGCTAGTGAAAAATAAAATACTAGCACCTAGATATTATGTATGTAGATATGTATTATACTTATTTATTTATTTATTTATTTGGACAATCAGTAGTTGTTACATTAATACTTAACTTAACTTAATATTATTTTAAAATAATACATAAATGCACAACATTTTAAGATGTCACAGCATGCATCATAAGGTAACACTGGTTTTATAATACCCATTCAGTAATTAAAAAAAAAATTAAACAATAAAAATAAAAATAAAGAAATAATAATAACAAAACAAGAAATAAAATGAGAACAAAGAAGAAATTCAGTTCAATTTAACGATCTTGTTTTAATCGTAACAACTCTAAAACAACTTTTTTGAATGTGTATAGCTTATCGCCGAACACATCCACTTCACCGCAAATAGAATTATATGCTTTCGACAAGCGATTTATTGGAGAAAACTCTTTTAAATTGGTTCTGGCAAATGGTGGTTGCAATAAACCTGCATTGACTTTTAACTGTCTAGGCACCCGACGTGGAACGCGAAATTTAAATGACTCCAGAAGAGGTGGACAGTCAACTTCACTTCTTAATACCTTATAGAGAAAAGTCATATCATGAAATTGTCTACGACATGACAAACTGTCCATCCTAAAATGTCTCAATTTGTCATTAGTGGATGGCAGTTTTTTGTGCAACTTACATGAAAAAGCAAGGTGTCTTAAGAATCGCTTCTGAACTCGCTCTATTCTTAACGTATGGACATTGTACTGAGGCGACCAAACTACCGAGCAGTATTCAAGATGACTTCGTACGTAGGTGTTGTAGATGGCAATTTTTGTGGCGGGATTACGGAAAAATCTACCGTTACGCATGATAAAACCAAGCATTTTTGAGGATTTCCCAATTATGTTGTCAAGATGTGGCATGAAGGTCAATTTGGAGTCAAAGATTACCCCCAAATCTCTTATCTCTTCCTTTTCCTGCAGAATTGTTCCATCAATATGAAACAGATTCTTTATTACTTTATATTTGCGGGTGAATGTGATAGTGAAGCATTTATTAATGTTGAGTGACATATTGTTACAAGTACACCACCTACTGATGGAATCAAGGTCCTTTTGTAGCAGACCGCAGTCTCGTGAATCTGTTATAGTTTTACAAATCTTTAAATCATCTGCAAAAAGGTAATACCTACTGTATTTAATAGATAAGACTATATCATTTATAAATACGTTGAAAAGCCAGGGACCCAAATGTGAGCCTTGAGGAACTCCGGAAGTTGTGACATAGGTGTTGGATTGAAAACCCTTCACTACGACATACTGCATCCTATCTAACAAGTATGACTGAAACCATTTTAAAAGGGGACCGCAGATACCGTACAAATTTAACTTTTTCAGTAATATCTTATGGCAAACTCTATCGAACGCCTTAGCAAAATCCATATAAACTGCACCAATTTGATTACCAGAATCCACTGCATTTATTAGTTGGTCGAGATATGTGATGAGATTTGTATGTGTAGAGCGAGATTCGATAAAGCCGTGCTGTTCATTTACAAAAATATTTCGAGTGTGATTTTTTAAGTAAGGGTAGATTAAAGCTTCGAATAATTTGGCAAAAACGGATAAAATTGATATTGGTCTGTAGTTAGAAATCTGATCTTTATTGCCGGTTTTGTGAATGGGAACTACTTTAGCTACTTTCCACTGGGTAGGGAAGATACCTGTTGTTAATGAATTATTTATGATATGGTAAAGCGGAAAGCATAAAGCTGATGCGCATCTTGAAATAAAGTATGGCGGTATTCCGTCTGGTCCTGCGCCCTTATGAATGTCGAGCCCCCGCAAATGCCTGCAAATACTCTCAAGCGGAATGTGAATGTCACCTATAGTATTTATGCATACATCTGTATCAGTGCGCAAAGTCGTTTGGGTAGAAGAATGACCAAAAGTGGAAGAGAAAAAGGATGCAAATTGCTTATACCTACTCGCGACCTGCCGCGGCTTAACATGGATGTAATACTAATACAAAATTTCTCCATTTACTTCTTACTCTTACCTACTAATCTTATTACTTGTATAAAAATGAATCGTAAAATTTGTTGGTAAGCGCATACTTAACTCAACAATGCCTGGACCGATCTTAACAATTCTTTTTTATTGTATTTATTATTGTCAGGAGAAGGTTCTTTTGAAAGACAGTATCAGAAAATATGAAAATTGGGAAAAAGTGATCCCTTTCGTTGTTAGCGACGTACATAGACCCGTGCGAAGCCGGCGGGGGCCGCTAGTACTTATTATAAATGCGAAAGTTACAATGTTTGTTACTTAATCACGCCAGAACGGCTGGACATATCTGAATGAAATTTGGCGTAGGATACACTCCAGACATAGACTACTTTTTATCAACATACTACGTCCGCGGGTACGCCTGAACTCGTGGTCGGAAGCTAGTATGCACATAAAACTTCATCTTCAATCTCTATACATCTATTTAAAAAACCGCTTCAAATACCCGTTGCGTAGTTTTATTAGATTTAAGTTCCTACCATACATATCTAGGGATCCCTACATCACGATCGGGATAGTATTAATCCCGGATATTCCTTTAACTTGACTGCACTGTGTTGGTGGTGCGGCGGTAGCTGACAACTGGCTTCCTCGCAACGTATCGCGGGTTCGATTCCCGCACGGAACAACTCTCGGTGTGTTCCACAAATTGTTGTTCAGGGTCTGGGTGTGATGTAAAATTTTATGTTTGTAAACGCATCCAAGACACAGACGAACAAACCTTCAGTAATGGGGCAACGTTTTTTTAAAAGCAAATTTATAAAAAATGAAAGATGTTGAATGATGAACATAGTGTAGTGCGTAAACTACCTACCGTAGAAATAGTTCTACAGACATACTTACGACACGAACAATAGCCACATTCTCACGGGTTCGGATCGGACGAGGTGCAGAAGCGCTGTTAATGAGTCGTGAAAGCGCGAAAATAAATCCTCAAGTAGGTAAAAGCTACAAAAGTACTAATAGCTGATAGTGTTAATACCACTAGCATAGTTATCCACTCAGAATCACCGCAAGTCTTGATAACTGCTTGGTTCTCACCATACTATCATTTCCCGTGTGGTTTTGCGCACGGAGTTACTTATTGCACGCGTCCCTTGTAGTGGTTACCTACTGAACACCCTGTATAAATTGCCGACCAACCAGCAGACACACCATTCCACTTCACAGTTTCTGTGAAGTGAGTTACTCTAATTATTAATATATTTAATAGTTAATTTTAATTTCTTTCTGCCGACATGGGGGATGTCGTAGAATACCTTAAATTGCTGTTCGATCGGCCAAATGAACCCTTGATTACACCTAAGGGTGACAACAAAGCCGTCTTTCAGCTGTCCGAAAAACTTCTGGTAAGTTTTTAAACATTTTCATTTACTTCAAAAGCTTCTTGTCAAAAGCGGGTTGGTAGTCCCTACCTACAAGTTTAAACTATATGTATCGAAAACGGGGTAAATAGGTAATAGAAAAATTCGTCAACATCTATTCACTCCGTTTGTGTATATATTCACCCCGTTTTACCATATCACTAAAAATATTAAATTTAACTCGACTTATTTGTCTATCAACTACTAATCTTTATTCTTTTTTATTCATATTTATAGCCTCCGGAATACGCAAATAATGGCGTCGAATTAAACGACCGTTTCGGTGACGACGCCACTGAGAAAATCCCCCTCAAGACTTTGAACTCTTACCCTGCATTCAAGAAGGCTTCAGAACTGCCTACCGATGCAGACTTCTCGCTCTTCTTGCCAAAACATCAGGAAATGGCCACTGAAGTCATTGATGCTTTAATGAGTAAGTTTGTACCTATAAACGGTTATGATTGTCTTTATCCGCAACAGTGTGTGAGATTCCTTATTTTAACAAGTTGCTTAACCCCAGCTCATGTTTCTAATTAGTAACAAAATAAAACAAAAAGTGCTATCAAAATTTTATTAATTTATAACTTAAGTATCTGTGATTTAAATGTTTATGGATGGAGAGGGGAAAACTGAAGGGAACATGGAGAGATAGTGGAGAATGATATGAAAAGAAAGGTAGTTTGTGGTAAGATCAGATAGAGGTAATAGGATTAAGGTGATAGTAACAGTGTGTAACTTATTAAACGATTATTTATTTATACAGATGTACCTCAGAATCAGCTGCAAGATTTCCTGTCAACATGTGTTTACGCAAGAGCAAACCTCAACCCACAGCTTTTCAACTACTGCTACTCGGTAGCACTGATGCACCGGTAAGACAACAGTCAATAATATAACATATATAAAATATGTTACATTGTAGTTATTATATACATAAATTATACTATGAAGTACACTATTTAACTATTGTCCATATTAAATACATTCATTAAAATTTAACTTGTTTACATAAATATTAATTCAATTTAAAAAAGCAAATGCTTCTTATTTAATAAATACATAGGCTTTCATAATTTGAAGTTAGTTGTATACATAAATGTATTGTGGTTCAACTACACACCACATATTTAAACTATGATGAGAGTGAATGATTCTTAACACCTATTATAACATTACAGTGATGACACCAAGAATGTGCCAATCCAGAACTTTGCAGAGACTTTCCCTTCTAAGTTCATGGACTCTCAAGTGTTCCAGAGAGCCCGAGAGGTGACAGCTGTGGTGCCCCAGAATGTACCAGTAAGTCACATAGTTTATTTCTTATCCTTACCACCACAGCAGTTATCACATTGCTTGTCAGATTCTGAACACATTACAGGCTTATAATTAGGTGTCCAAGGTCCTAAACTATCATTAGAATAGAAATCCATAGGATATGTTCCATCATCTTTTAACCATTTACTATTATTTAGTGATACAGAGAACTCATAAGGAGTCAGTAATGGCTTGGGGAAAGATGTTCCCCAATCAATAGACAATCTTGGGCAAGCCACTTGAACAAATGCATCAAGACCAAATAATGCTAATTTACTAGGGAAAATCTCAGACAGAAGTATCTTTACAAACTTTTTATCAGTGTTAATAATTTGCTTTTCTAGATTACTCAACACTTTAGTGCTGCCTTGTCTCCCTAATGTTCCAAGTATAAGGCCAAAACTCTTTGCTTTTTCTGCAATTTCAATTTGATTATGTCTATTGGCCTGCATACTTTCATGTTCATACAGTTCTGAAGTAAATTTCTTCTCATAAGGGTCATATTTAAATGCAGGTATTTTAGGATTAGCTATCATAACAGATTCCAAGTGAAACCTACCATCACCGAGATAAATCACTACATCTGAATTTAACTTTGGAGATGTACAGCCCAGGATTTCTCCAGGTGACAAAGGCTTACACTGAGGCACAGTCACAGTATACTCCTCACTCCTAAGAATTTTAGCTACAGAGTGCAGGGTTGTAACAAATTGTATTGTACTAACTAAAGCTAAGTGAGTTTGCTTTGGAAAGTTTAATTTAACTGTTTCCATAAAATGTGATGGGTCTATTTTAATGTCCACAAACACATAAAGTACCTTGATGTCACATGTCTGATCTATTGGAATCAAGCACGAGTGTCCGTAATGTACTAGCAGGTCGACACCTAGCGCTATAGCTGTGAAGTCATCGATGCAGCACGCGCCATACGTTACATCGCCCATTATAACTGTGTCAGCTTCAGTAAAAGTCTCTATTATATCACACAACGTCGTAGCAAACATCGTTAGCCCTGTAATAAATATATAACAACGATAAATATATGAACACCAGGCTTTATCACACAAAAAAATAAGATTTATAATATTTTTACTTTCTCATTACCTTCAGGTAGTTGAAGGGCGACCCGTTTTGAACCCAACGATCTTATTCTCCATATAGTTTTGTGTATTTCAAAATTATAATTTTGTGGTAAGGCTTCACACGCTCTATTTAGAAGAGGGTCATTGAGTAATTCATTTGGTATTTTATTAACCGCACGAATATTTGGTTTGAAAGTCTTTCTCTGACCTTCTGGTTTAGCGCGTACTACGACAACGCCAGGATTTAATCCAAAATCTTCCATTTTTATGAACTTTATAAACACATTTCCTTTAATAATTAAAGCCTTATGCCGACGAGAAACATTATTTTACAGGTTATTCTTTTAAACAAAATATAAACACGCGCGGTGGCCTACGTGACTTTTCGCATGAAATTACGTTCCGTTTGTAAAAATGTCTATAAATGTCAATGTGTTTCTGAAATGAAAAATCCGACAGAAGTAAAACATTTCAGAATCATCTACAACTTCATAGATTTTTTTATTGCATAAAGTAAATTTAAGGTTTTTTGAATACCGCTTATTTTTTCCAACGATCTTTTTTATTAATAATTACTTATTGCCAAATTAATCACATCATAATATTATTCGTATAATGAAACAGAGATGATGGGATTCTGAAATGTCATTGTCAAAACGTTACGTTTCACGCAAAACTTTTATATGCGTTAAAAGTATTATTTTGAACAAAATACTTTGTATTCTTCGTAGATATTATGGTAACAAAGATCATTAGGTCAGCCGATTTCTTGATTCATGGTTCAGTCTAACGAAAATTTAAAGATGGTATATTGTCAACGTTACCTAACTTACCTACCGACTCTGGATCCAGTACCTAACTTCTCGTGATGATATATCACTCAGCACAAAAAAATCTTTAAATTATAATCCCACTTACGTACTTTTATTTTAGCGTATCCCGATCATCATCCCAAGGGACTACACTGCCACAGATTTGGAAGAAGAACATCGTTTAGCTTATTGGCGTGAAGATATTGGTGTCAACCTACATCACTGGCATTGGCATCTCGTGTACCCGTTCACTGCATCGCAGAGATCGATTGTTGCTAAAGATCGTCGTGGCGAGCTCTTCTTCTACATGCATCAACAACTCATTGCTCGGTAAATATCTACTAAGTAGGTACCTACCTAATGTACCAGTGAATTGAGCTAAATCTGGAGCACTATGAACAAACCAAGTATAACTTACCTTCTTACTTTATTTGGAGAACCAACCTTATTAGGAGTTGATCTGGAGTCTAGATCGCGAACTCACTTCTCCAACTAAGATCATATTTTTTATTCTTTATTCTAGTTATAACTGTGAGCGTCTGAACAACTCTCTGAAGAGAGTAAAGAAATTCAGCAACTGGAGGGAGCCAATCCCCGAGGCTTACTTCCCCAAGTTGGACAGTCTTACGTCATCACGTGGTTGGCCACCACGGCAAGCTAACATGTCCTGGCAGGACTTGAACCGTCCCGTCGACGGACTTAACATTACCATCAATGACATGGAGAGATGGAGGAGAAATGTTGAGGAGGCCATCGCCACTGGTAGGGTGACGAGAGTACGTATCACCAAATAAATCATTTTTTTTAATTAAACTTTATTCACTGTATTATAGTATGACAACAATAAAATTAAGTAGTTATAAAACGCCGACGATGTAAATATATACTCGCTTTTTTTAAAAGATGATTTGCGAATAATTTCAGGAGGACGGTACAACAGCCGATTTGGATATCGACACTCTTGGTAATATGCTGGAGGCCAGCATCCTGTCTCCTAATAGGGAGTTGTATGGAAGCATTCACAACAACGGGCACAGCTTCTCGGCCTACATGCACGACCCTACTCACCGTTACCTCGTAAGTGGCGTACATAACTACTCGCCATTAATTATCTACTCAAATTAAGTACCTTTCGTTGCTAAATATGTTGTAATCATAAGTCTATTTATGACCACTTAACGCTAGAAGTATTTGGAGTGATCAGCGATGGTTGTATGGCTTTTAGTATGGATTTTTGTAGGTACTTCAACAAATGTAGCTCGGAAACCTCCAATTATTTTAATTTTCAGGAAAGCTTTGGCGTCATTGCTGATGAAGCCACCACGATGCGTGATCCCTTCTTCTTCCGTTGGCACGCATGGATCGACGACACCTGCCAGAGGCACAAGGAGTCTCCGTACGTGCGACCCTATACTCGTTCAGAGGTGGGTTCGGAGTTCTAATTTAAACTTTCAATCGTAGCAATTCAAGACACAATAGAAGAACAATAGCTTTGCAAATGCTGGCGTTCGCTTGGTTTGATGAATTAAATTCAAATAACAAGGTATGAAGACGTCTGAAGTCCAAATGGAAATTCGCTACCCCCTCACTTAAAATCTTGTACTACCTATACATATCTATAAACAGATTACTTACTCTAGGATATCCTAATGAAGAGTTGTAGCCTTGTAGCTCAAAAGACTGATGGAACGGTGCGATTGCAGGCGGGTTTTAAATTAGGCTTTGTATATTTTATTCTAGCTCGAGAACCCCGGTGTTCAAGTAACATCAGTATCAGTCGAGACTCCCGGTGGCCAACCTAACACACTTAGCACATTCTGGATGTCGAGCGATGTGGATCTTTCCAGAGGTTTGGACTTCTCCGACCGTGGTCCTGTATACGCACGATTCACTCATCTTAATAACCGACCGTTCCGTTACGTGTAAGTAACTAGATAATTGGATACAGCAAGAGTGTTACCTACTAACTTAACAAAGACTTTTCTGCCAGCGGAAGGTCCCGAATGCTAATTTAGTTAGATATAAAAGTGTTAATCATTAATAAATAAATATTAATCGACTTTCAGTATCAACGTCAACAACACTGGCAGCGCTCGTAGGACCACTGTTCGTATCTTCATAGCACCCAAGTACGATGAACGTAACTTGGTTTGGTCTCTCGCCGATCAGCGCAAGATGTTCATTGAAATGGACCGATTTGTGCAACCATGTAAGTAATCGGCTAGTCATCTCTGCGACGTTTGTAATGTCGCTAATCAATAGCTAGTGTTTACAAATACTTACGCACTTATTGTGTAAAATGTGTTTCAGTGAATGCCGGCCAAAACACTATTACCCGCATGTCGACACAGTCTTCTGTGACAATTCCATTCGAGCAGACCTTCCGTGACCTCTCGGTGCAGGGTAACGACCCCCGTCGCACCAGTCTTGCAGAGTTCAACTTCTGCGGTTGTGGATGGCCTCAGCACATGCTTGTTCCCAAAGGCACTGAAGCTGGCGCTCCCTACCAGCTCTTCGTCATGCTTTCTAACTACGACCTTGACAGCGTAAGTCCTTTCTTTCTTGAGCTAATAAATGAAGCTACCTACACGCTATTGGGTTATCTCAATACGGTAGTACGTATTATCGATTGTGCAAAATTCGACGTTTTTTCGCAGGTGGATCAACCTGACGGTAGTCAGCTGAGTTGCGTTGAAGCATCCAGTTTCTGCGGTCTGAAGGACAAAAAGTACCCTGACCGCCGTTCCATGGGCTTCCCCTTCGACAGACCATCAAGCACTGCCACTAACATTGAAGACTTCATCCTACCAAATATGGCGCTACAAGACATAACGATCCGTTTATCCAACGTCGTTGAACCAAACCCTAGAAACCCCCCATCAGCAGTTTAACTGTCATTGGCAAGAATCAAGATGATTGACTACTACTGCATAGGTAGTTATAATAGGCACATAGCAATGTGAAACAAAAGGCTGATTTTAAGTTAAAAGAACAAAGTGTAAATACTGTAAATATAATTATCAATTATTTAAAGTTAATTATAGACCCGTTTACCAAATATGATAAGATAGGATAACAATAAACTAGTTAAAAAAACATATTTTTTTAATTGGTACCCCTTTCCCAGACAGAATTTTTGCTACTCTGATATTTAGAGTAGATAACATTCAAAATATTTTGTAGGTACTTCACTATTACAAGTCTTACAAAATATTCATCATTGCAATAGTTGCAATAATTCATAATTGCAATAGATAAGAAATTAGAAATTTACTGTCAATCAAAGGTTAATTGAAAAACACCTGCAACTACAGTTCTATTATTTAAGCTGTATAAAAAAGAAGTTGGAAAGAAGTTAAATAGAAAAAAGTATTGAAATGTAACTTTAATTTGTCTGCTAGATTAGATTAGGATTAGAGATAAAATAAACTTTTTAAAAATAGAAAAGCCAAATCATGTTCCAAACATTTAATAGTAAAGACTGTTACAATAAATTACTTAAAACTAACAATCTTCATTACAAGAAACTTCTCCATCTTACCTGCAAAACAAAACATACAAGTTAGAAATTGCATTATTAACAATATGTTGGAAAACCTAATTGAATTATTTATCAGCCCTATCATTAAATATCACGTTGTTATCATAACAACATTTATTGGCTCATGTTGATTCTCATCATGTAAATTGTGCTTGTTTCAAAATACAGGCCATTCAAGCAATCACCTTCATTAGTCAAAACGGCTTGACATCAACCAAATCAGTTTACCAATATTATTGACAATACTTAGAAATATCATACATCAATTGTTCTAAGGCTGAGGTCAGCTATTTATATTACACCTGGGTATCCACGGCAATGCATTTGTGACCATGAAGACAAGCGGACTAAATTGAAAACTTTTTTGACACAATTATCAATTCTTGAACTCAGTCCATATTACAACTCAAAATTGTAGGCAAATGTAGTGCTCTTAAGTATTTCAGATGATTGAATGAATAACCACATGTAGCTTAACTTAGTAGATACAAGAATAAAACATCTCTCACCTGTTTATAAATAACCCGCATGCTATTAGAGATACCTGAAATAGAAATAATTACCAATCAGTATTATCTCATCAAAATTGTGGAAATTAATTCGTGTTATTGCTAAAAATCAGGCCTATCATTTAATATCACGTGTTAATCATATAAACACATTTCGGCTCGTGTTATTGTCATCATTTTATCAAGATAAATACAATCCTAGTAGCAGATAACACCTAAATTGTTAAATAATCGATACTGTTCGCTTTTTAAAAGACATGCCGACCGACCGCATGGCCTAACCAAATAATCTTATCGTAAAGCTGTATCGACAGGTAAACATAAGTAAAAAATCTTTATCATAATCCCATTTTGGACAGACTGATATTGATTTAATCAATAATCATTATGCAATAAAGACAGAATAATTTAAGAATAATCCTGAGTTGCACATGGTAAGATTAGAAATTAAGACAATGCCTACATGAAATTTAAATAAAATTCCACTAGGATTTATCATGCGAGTAAAAAGTTTAAAATTATTCTGCTCGTTTTAAACTTAACCAAATAACTAGAAACTTATGATAATAATCTTACCATAGCTACAGCCAACTTAGATGATCACCTCTTGATTCCTCGGTCCTCCATGTTGAATTGATTGAATGTTGGTTGGTTGAACGTTGAACGGGATTACGGGACGTGAATGATGAAGAGAAAAGGAACGAAATGTCAAAGGAATGAATTCATTAATTACCTACAATATTTTCAATTTACTGTCAACTGTCAAGTCAAAGATTCAAAGTCGAACGAAGAGAGGGGATGAAACGAACGAAGTAAATGAACTATTTTTATATTTTGAACTTTTCGCGGCTACAGGCAACAGAAGTACCTACTTAGTATGATTGTATGTGTTATAATGTACCTACTCAGCATGGCCGGTACTTCAACTTATAAACCTACCTGCTGTGGAACCCGTAAAAGTACTAGTCCGACACGTACTTGGCCGGATTTTATGGTATAGATACAGAGCAAACGAGCAGACCTATTAATTCTTCTATGGTACCTACGCAGACTCTGTAACTTACCAACATATCCAACCTACTTCCTACTAATACCTACTATCCATATCTATACTTATAATAAATCCGTAGAAAGGTCAATATATTTTCAAAATAGTTACCTGGTAGTTACCAGGGGGTGATAAGTGATCGATACCACAGTAAAAATAAATTTTTTGTCTGTCTGTCTGTATGTTCCTTGTAGAAACAAAAACTACTCGGTGGATTTTGACAAAACTCGGTACAATTATTCTTTATACTCCTGGGCAGGTTATAGGATACATTTCATCACGCTACAAATAATAGGAGCAGAGCAGTGAAGGGAAAAGTTGCGAAAACGGGAGAAGTTATTCCCTTTTTTAAGTTTCCGTCGCGTGTGTAGCCTTAATGATTAAAGTGACATAGAAATTATGTATAACAGAAATAATTTACATAAAATTATCAAAAAAACATCTTTCACAGCATATGTCTATCTTTTATGGTTAACTCGCAATAGCACGTGTAACTCCTGCTTAGCAGTTCGGATAATACGCCATCGCGTCGTCGCATGTGAACACTGAATCATGCTATGAGGAATATTTTTGTGTAACGGTTGCCGCGCTCGACGCGACGCGGTTTAAAATATAATATAATAGGTTTTATAAAATATTTGTAATACCTAATAGTTAGATCCGTACCATTCTATCTATGGATGGACGGATAGCGGAGACTTAGTAAGTAATAGGGTATTTACCCATTGGAGATGTACCCATAAAAATGAGACGATTAATAACAAATTTTATGTATAAGTACTTCGATTTTGTTCTATTACCTTCTATAGGCTGCTTTTTATGAACACAGCACGCGGGCGAAGCCGCTGGCGGAAGCTAGAAAAATATCATGTTGAAAAATTACAGAATAAAGTTAAACGGGTTGGTCGGGTTACAGTTATTAATACTTCTGTAGTAGCCAAGACTTCTTATGCACAAATAAGGGCTACCTTATCTGAAGGGTGTTATGCCAACTCTCCCACGCGCTTCTCAGCTCAACCACGGCTCAACGCTGGCGGATAACAATACGACATTCCCAAGCCAGGTGTACCTAGGTAGTCTATAACTTATAATAAATATGTAGAGAGGTCAGTTCTGTACATGAAATATATTTTAAAAATAACTATCAGGAATGATATGTGATCGATACTGATGCCAAAAATGTAATCTGTAAAATGTTTGTCTGTCTGGATGTGCCTTATAGAAACAAAAACTTCTCGACAGATTTTCACGAAACTTGATACAATTATTCTTTAGTTCTAGGCAGGTTATACGATACTTTTCATCACGCTACAATCAATAGAAGCAAAGCAGTGAAGGGAAATGTTGGGAAAACGGGAGAAGTTACTCGATTTTTTTTGCTTCGATCGCGTGTGCAGGCTTAATGGTTAAAGTTACATAGAAATAATGTATCACGGGAATGTTCAACATAAAATTATCTACATAATATCTTACAACCGTATATGGTTATCTTTTATGGTTGACTCACAATAACACGTGTAACTCCTCAAAGCACAGCAGTTCGGAGTATTCTGATAAGTATTTGTTTACTCTTACGTTTATAACACTTTATCCCTAATTAAAAAAGTTTACATTATTATCTATTCAATAAAAAAATTATGATAGAAATCAGTACCTATAGGTAGGTACAAGTGTGCACCTTTTCGACGCCATGCTTCAAGATAATAATCAATTTCAATACATAAGTATAATAAACAGTAAAAGGTCGGTGTCTGTACACGGAGGAAAAAAGAAAGCTTTACTAACTTTCTTTTTTGAAAAAAGGGAACTTTATATAAGTAGGTACGCAATAGAACCCAACACAATGTGTGGTAGGTAATTTTTATCCTTATTAATATCCCCTTCCACATTACCCACAACCAAGCGCAACTAATTTTATATTTTATGTACAAATACTTGTCTACAGATTTATTATAAGTAATAGGATAACATTGCCAGAAACTTGTAACATGTTTTGTGGAGCGCTCAGAATCAATACCTTAATCGGTTTTTGAGTTGTTTCAAGGTGTTGCTGTAAGTTTTACCTCAAAATTCTGTGTACATATTTTATTTCAATCGGCCTAGAGCAGGTAAAATAACGGGGGTGTTTTTAGTCAGTAAGAGTCTGAATCTCTCTCTCGCCTTACCCTGGTCGGGAGAAGTTATTTGATGATTGATTTTTCCCTGACTGAATTCCCCTGAATATTTAGTACCTTACCGCAAATGGTGGTTTGATTTAATAAAAAAAATTGTGACGAATCGTCCAACTAATATCGTGCTGTGACCTAAACCAATAGGATCCAAGCAGCATGTGAAACCGCGCACGTGTTACCGCGAGTTTTTAAGCTTAGCGCCTACAAGAATATTTAGGTATATAAATCTAACGATGGAGAATATATCCATTGCTAGATAAAACTACATACTTATTTAGAAACAATTTAAAATACGTCTTGTTAACACATTGCTCAAAAGCGCAACTTATTGCAAACAATTTCCAGAATACCTATTCAGTCAATAGAAACTTAATACCCCGGTCTATGCGTAACCGTTTCGACAGGGCAGATGTGGGGAGTAAGCAATGAAAAAATTCATAACATTTTCGACCGCCAGAGGGCAGATTAGGCAATGGAAGCAATCTTTATGACGTCATGGGCTCGTGGCATGGCTGGGTGGCGGGCGTGCCGCGTGTGGCATGGATGCTTACTTGGCTAGCGTCATAACGGAGCTAGCGACCTCTAGCGGCGGCGAACAGTTAATTTACCTATATAAGTATATAATGTACGGGTACATAGGTGAATGACGCGGCGTGATGCCATAATAAGCTCGAAATGGTTTTTTTTCCCTCATCAAACTATCGCCCAGCAACAATGCAGACACTTTCGCAAATAGTTTTAGGGCCTAACATAATAAAAAAGGCTTTATATACATTTACATACCTTAGTTAATGATATATTATCCAAATATTGATCGATGACGTTATTTTAGAAACTAAAATCATTCCTGTATTAAAAGCTCTAGGATGCCTGTTTGAGATCAAATAAAAATATTAGTAGCCAGTTGGTTCAATAAAAGTAATTAAATGTACTTTCTAGCATTGGACTGCCACTAGTTAAATAGGGACTTGTACTGCATGTAGGTAATTAAACATTTTTTTCAATTACAGTGGTCTTTTTTATTTAAATAAAAAAAATACATCATTTTCAGTTCTATAAGTACATTAACAATTCAGTAAACTTTTACCAAATCAACACTTCCATCTTGTTGACCTGAGATCAGAAATAAATAAGACCGACGGCGGTATTAAGGGTTCTGCTAGTATCCAATAGCACATTTAGTAGTAATTTTCAAAGAAACATTATTTTATCGGATCAGTAGTTCTTACTTACAATTAGTGTCTACGATTTGTAATCTAAACTTACCTACACTGTTATACTCGATTGATTTAATAATATACACTCATAATGGAAAGTATCTAGCTAAATATTTTTACAAATATTCTGTAACTTAACTCACATAAGAATTATTCTAAAACAGGCTGATAGCTTGCTACAAACAGAATTATACATGAGAGAGAAAGAAATAAATAAATACTCAAGGAGCTTACTGGAATTAGAAAATTATTTAATTTTTGCGATTAGTGATCAATTCACATTTCGTCTTACAAAATAATATTCTACACAGCAATAGAGGCTACAGATCCATTTTAAAACCATTTAAACAGATTTCACTTTATTTGTGACAATCAAACAGTCACTAGCACTTAAACCACCATCCATGATAATATTATAATATTATATGGGTAATGGGAGCAAAGCTAAAATTGGTACAATTTGTTTATTGTGCTGATGGTAAATACATTTTCAGAGGATTTATACACTGAATTTACAACTTGTGTTAAGACACCATTCAACAAAAATTCATTACCTAATTTCACCATACTTATGGTTTTCCATTAATATTGTTAAATAAGTTTGATATAGCTTAAGTTATTTACACAATACTGCTTGATAACATGGATGTGCATCCTGGTAAAGCAGGGTTGTCGGTCTACTGGTGCCACTAGTACAGTCTGCACACTCCCTCAACATTAATGTTATTTGCCTTTAGCTGTGATAGTAACAGTTGATTTTGCCGGTTGTGGTATGATTGTTATCTCATCACTTATCTTCAGAGGTTTCAGTAAAGGATCTGACTCAGGTTTAGTTGAAGATGCGGGTGTCTTGCTCTTATCCATGACCCGCTTGGCCACAACACTGTGAGCAGAGTAGACATGATTCTCAAACTGTTTGTACATACCAAATGTGGCTGTGCACACTGTGCACTTGTATGACAGGTGCGCAGGCTTCAGAGTCATGTTGTGGTCCCTCGAAACATGGTTAAGTAGCTTCCACTGGTATACTCTTCCACATACTGGACACCTGCCAGCATCCTTGCCTTTATTTGCAGCTTCTTGCATGGAACTTGTAACCAACCCATGGGAACCAAGAAGATGTCTTTCCAATCCTTGGTCAGTGAAAAATCTAAATTGACATTTCTGGCAATTTAAGGGTGGCCTGTTATAGATCATCTTAGGATGAATCTTAACTTTGTGTATCCATTGCATGTGGTTCCTCAATTGTTCTAAATCTTTGATGTATCCATCACAAATTTCACATATGACAAAGGTTGCCTTGGAGTTTTGTGATGAGTGGGATGATGATGGTTGTGGAGCTCTTGGAAGAGGAGTAATCGATATCTTAGGTGTGGCATTGTTGGTCTGATTTTGTATCATAGGATAGTTTGCAATAGTGGTACCAACAGCTGGAGTGTTGTGCATGATCATGACACCACTGCGTATCATCGGCACTCCCGACACAGGCTGGGGGCGTGGCGGGCCCGTGGTCGGGGGCCGACCACGGGGCCTGCCTAGTACAGGCATACTTGGAATAACATTTGCCATATTTATCTGTGGCCGACTCAGATTATTCATATTCATCTGTGATCTATTGAAGTTAGATTGATAAGAGCCTACCATGTTATTGCGAGCCCGAGTTAATTTTGGTATTTTTGCAGGTGGTTCCCACTCTATTGGAGGAGCCAGATTAAGGTCTGGTTTGAATTTCTTAGCACAAGCAATAAGATGGCGTGCTAATTTAGTCTTACTGTTGTCCTCAAAGTGACAATTGGCACACTGTTGGTAAGCTGGGGCTCTTTCCAGTCTGCCTCGAATATTATGCTCAGCTTCCATGTGAAACAATATATCATGGGGGCTACGAATTTCAAACTCACATGAATTGCATTTGTAGATATTATTTCGCATGTGAGGTGCCTCTAGATGATGCGCCATTACAAGCATGGATTCTGTCTTAAAACTACAAAACTCACATCGTCTCTGAACAAGAGCATAAGGGGCATTTGTTTTCTTGCTGAACTCTAAGTTTTGGGTAAGTGATGCTATAGCTGCCTCCGTAGCCTTTGTGCTTTTGCCTGTTTTCTTTTCCTTGTATAATTTTCGATTTTGATGTTTGAGTAGATCACTCTGTACATATTCTTGAACTAAATTCAAACCAACATTGATAAAAAATTGGCCAAGAGAACAGTCAAAATAGCTGTCTGGTTTACCTCCACTAAGTCCTTTAGCAATCAGGCTGATTGGGTCTTTAAGGTCAATAGTATCATCTCTATCTTTAATTAGTACAGCGTCATCATCAGTGCCTTCTGAGTCTGATGAAGATTCACCATCCCAGGAGTCATCATCTTCTTCCTGGCCCCGCTTCCTTTTCTGCTTTTTCTCCAATTTTTTGTCCTTGATTGAATCATCCGCACTTTTATTATCACTAGTTTCATCATCTTCTTCCAGCTCTCCTCTCTCAATCTTTTCCTGTCTTTCTTTTTCTTTCCTTTCTCTTTCGATTTTTTCCTTTTCAAGTTTTTCCTGATCTTCCTTAATTTTGAGTTCTTCCAATTCTTTTCCCAACTTGTCTACAAATTCCCTAAATGGTTTCACAGAAGGTTTTTCATAAACATAGGGGACTATAAAGGAAGGAGCTTCAACAACGAACATGTCATCAGTCAGGGAAGGCAGTATGTTTGGTAGAGGTGCAGGTGGTTGAGTGCTGCTGTTGTTACTGGCATTTTTCACACTGACAGGAGTAATAGTAGTGCCACGGGCTGCAATACTCTGACACAAGTTGTGTGCATCCAGTGCACTTGTAGAGGTGGGTTTGCTAGGTGCTGATACTGGTGGTTTGGTGGTTAATATAGAATTAGTATCTATTATAACCACAGTTGGTTCACTATTCTGATCTCCATTAGACTTTGACTGTTTAGTCGCTAGGTCTGCCAAACTTCTAGTGTCACTGACCACAATAGGCTTGTTCTTATTGGAAGGAGTTTCATTCAGGGGATCTTCCACAGACACCTCTTCAATGTCTGATTCATCTCCACCATTTTCAAGATTTTGTTCTTCAATTTTTTTCTGTTGCATATTTTTGTTTTCACTTTGTGATTCATCTGAACTTTCATTACTATCTGTACTTGAATTAGAACTGTCATCATCATCATCATTAGTCACTACACAATCTTCATCGTCGTCACTAGTAATCTCGTGAACCTCAGGGGCAGGAGAGCCTCCATTTTGGCTCTGAGGCTCATTTTCATTTTCAGAGTCACTGCTGTCATCTTTTGGCTGGCTTCCTTGTGATGTATCGTCGTCACCTTCAGTACGTTCGTCTGCAAGAAATGTCAGTCGTAGATAAAACAAACAATCAAAACAATTCGTTGTCTTAACTGGTTTGATTAGTAGCAACTATTAGTACAAGTTACTGCACAAATCAAAACTATTTGACGTATAAAATGTTAACAACTATATGATATAACTAAAAGTTAACTCATATTGGCAACCGTGAGCGTCCGGCAATTACGGAGACGCTAGAAAGACCAGTCAAATCTAGATATCGTAGTAACCTTAACGTTTACGATTGCATGAGTAAACTGCTGCTTAGCATTTCAAATCAAGCATTTATGAATTGATTTTTGAAAAAATGTATTTCCATTTATCATATAGCGTCATTATATCATGTGGAGTATGGACCGCCATATGGGATTCCATGGCATTTCTCCGAAAAAACAACTCTATCAGGTTTGATGGTAAACACGTAAAGATTACAAACAATTTATAGAAATAACTATAACCTGTATTGAGATAGTTACCTGTAGCTGTAGAAATTGACATTTTCTGATGAATTTCGTATTAAAAACCGAAAAATAGCACAATAGCACAGTAGCGGAAACCAAACCAAATCAAGCTGTCATTTCAAAAGGTTTTTAATATGTCACGTTCCGTATCAGACTAAGAACCGTTATTAATAATTTTAATTATGTGAGAGAAATTAGGCTTTACTGTTTGTTTATTCTTAATAACGATATTATAAGATAATGAATTGTGACTAAAACTTGGTACAATACTCCAGTTCCTCGTTTTTTATATGGATGAAATAGAAAATGGCGGCATCTTGACTTATTAAATAACCTTTAAATAAAAATCGTGGGAAAGGGAGGGATTTCGGTGGGGGAAGGACGCGGTACATCAGTGGAGAAATATTGTAAAAAAATGCGGGAAATTTAAATTAGATTATTTTCGAGTGAAATGAATATAATATAGCAATAATAATTTAAGAATATTTATATCAAGACTTATTTTTACTGTTCATACTTTCGCAAACAGCTACCTACATCAACTCTAAACCTTAGAGCTTTAGCACAAGGTTACTCGGTGGTTTTTGGTTGCTGTATTTTTTATATTTTGTGTTAGTTTGTTTATGGTAGCAAAAATGTTTGATTTTAGAAGTTTACTATCGTTGAAATAAAATGAACTTGATTACTCAGCTACTCTTACTGCAGCCAACGTCTTATTTGTCCACCACAAACGACCGGTAACTATTTGAAATATTAAGGGTCGACCTACAATTAACGTGGCTCCCACTTCCTAAGAACGGCTACCTATTGTCAAAAACAAGATTTGATATAGTTTTTCTGGTGAAATGCTGATTTTGGCGGCCAAATGTTAGCCATAGACAGACTATCACTATGACTGACATGAGCGCGCGATTACAAATTTTTAGTAATCTTTACACCACGCGCGTGCAATGCCTAGACAGAGTATAATATTTTCTCAATAAGTACGGATCTAACTTTGTTTAAGCAAGCTGCTCACCTCTACTAAAGGAGTTTATGGCGTATCTAAATAATAGCAAAGAGTATATAAGCCTATGTTCTAACTAATAATCCTACTTCTTATAACTGCTATAATAAATATTTATTGTAGGTTTCGTCTCTTATTACATAGGTATTCTTGTCCTTGTCATTGCCATAATGGTTTAATTCATTTCCAAAATAGTACCTATATAATGTATGCGAGATCTACGTTTCGGAACGAATAGGTCGCACTAGACCGGGGTGATACAACGGCCTCATTGAAAACCGGCATGAAACATCTACATCTTTGACTTTTTACATTATTGTTTTGACCTTAACTACAATGAGGTCACCGAAGGTATAATCGTCCCTTCTTTGGTATTGCGGGTGTCCATAGGGACGCCGTTTGCTTACCATCAGGTGATCTGCTTCTGATCGTATAATGCACATTATCGTATAAAAAAATTAAAAAAATCTATTGATAGTAAAAAAAGTTTATTTCTATAATAGTATGGTAAAACAAAAACATAATAATGAAGTAATAATTTAAAATGATACTTAAGTACAGTCATTATTAAATAACTTAATTATTTACCTAATAATAATACATGGCATAACAACAAATATTTTTCCTCAGTTTAATTTTATTAGGCACTTGTGTCCCAGCCCAGCTTCCCATGGTCTTAGTAACAATAGAAAAATGTTATTAAAAGCGCGAAATTGAATTTATCTATTTAAGATATTAAGTTTGGCACAGATTACAAAATGAAAGAGCCATGGGAAAAATATTGTCATAATAATGATCTAATTGATTGTTCTATTATGTACCTAAAGTAAATAATTCTACACATTTTCTTCTTCAATACCATCTGCCTCAGCTTCTTTGAATGGATCAACCATAGATGTTTCATCAGGCTTTCTAATTACTCCCATCTCCTCAGCAGCATCAAGACATTTTTGAGCGTTTTCAATTGTCTTCTTCACATCTGGATCTTCTAATTTTGTGATGGCCATTAATATTTCCATAATATCTGTTTCAAATACTTTGGCAGCAACATCTTTATCATCAGAAATGATGTTATAAAGCATATATGTTCCTCTGTATTGGATCTCCTTGTTTGGATTAGCTAATAGACACCTCAGTGTTTCTGGCCATACTTGAACATCAAGCAATTTTCTGCAACAAACTTTACTTGCAGATGTCAGTATGCATAATGCACCTGCAGCTGCCATTACTGTGTCTGTGTCTTCCTCTTGACACAAGAGATACAAAAATTTTGTTTTATCATTATTGCCCTCATAAGTTTTGATAACATCTTCAGATTGTACTAAGTTACAAATACACTGTGTTGCTGCTCTCAGCAACATTTCATGATCTTCGTATAAGTAATGTTCAATTTTAGCAAGACCACCTTCTTTCAGTATTCTGTTTCTTGTAGATTCATTCATTCCCGCCAAGTTACATAGGGCCATCAAGGCTTCAAAATTCTCCAATGCTGTGCAGTCAGGGTGAAGTAATGCTACAAGAGGTCTAACAACTTCTAAATTGCGCTGACCTGGAAATGCTACTTCTGGGTTGATTGTTATGCCAATCCGTGCTAGTGCTTGTGCTGCCTGTTTTTTGCCGTTTTTAGTGCCTTCAAGTGACATTGGAATTAGCACTTTTGCACCACCTTGTTGTACAACTATGCCTCTGAGTTCTGGCAAGCCACAGATAGCATTAAGTACTCGCGCAATTAGTTCTCTTGAATTGTCACTCTCAGTTTTGGCCAGGGCTACCAAACCTGAGGTCACACCAGCTTTAGCTAAAACTGTTATCCTTTTATTAATAAAATCAGGATCATCTAATTCATGTGTTTCTGGTATATGATGTTTGGCAAACTTTGCAAGTTCCATCATTTCTGGCATGACCTCTTGTTTTTCATAAGCATTACATAAGTTTACTAATGTGGTAACAACACCATAGAGGCAAGATTGATCACCACTTTTAGCTAGCTCTATAAGAGCATGGAGGGCAGCTTTATCTTCAACCAATTTTTCTTTTACATCAGCATCCAAAGTCAAGTAGGAAAGCCCCTCTGCAGCCCATTTCCTGACATCATTTTCTTTAGCTGGATTAACAAGAAATTTCCTGCAAGCTTCAGCTAGCTTTTTAGTTGAACCATCAGCAAATGGCCGTACAGATGCATCATCTCCACCAAAACTACCCACTTTACAGAGACCAACTAGGGCTCTCACTCTAACAGCATCATCTTTACTCTGATAAAGCTTTTTCAAAATGTCAACTCCCTTATTAATAATAGTTCTAGCTTTGTCTTTCTTTGATGCTGCAGCCACCAAACATTCACAAGCAACTTTTTGTTGAAGAGGATCATCAGTTTGAGCCATGACCAAAATCATTTCAATAATACCTTCTTTTGAAATAACATAATTTCCAACATCCAAAGGACCTCTCAGCAAAGAAGTAATGGCCACTGTAACTCTAACTTTTGACTCCAAATCAGGTGACATTAGCTTATCTTTTACAAAATCATCAACTTGGTTATTGAACTTTTCTCTGGCTTCATCATAATACATATTCTCATAGATCTTTGCCAGGCAAGCAGCAGCTATGGTCCTAGAAGATGGGGTGATGTTCAATGCTGATTCATATTTGTACTCTTCTAATTCACTGCACACCTCAAGCAGCCGATGCAATCCTTTGATTTCCACAAACCTTTCAGCCCAGTTTATTGCACTGTAATGGCAATTTCTCATGATCAACTCAATAATGGCATCCCTTGCCTGTCCACTAATAACTCTGTTTGTTATTGAGTATGTTAAGCAAGTAAGTAGAGTGTCTATTTCACTTTTGTATTCATCACAGAGTTTTGGGTCTGGTTTAGAATCTTTTTTGTTATCCATTCCAGAAAATGTATTCAGTAAAACTTGAAGGCAGTACTGAGCTGCACTGACCCTCTCCTCATTTTCGCTATCGATGACTTCCAGCAGCCAGGGTATGCCAACGATCTTGATCACTGATTTTGTTCTCTCAACATTTCTCTTGCAAAGTTGACTAATGACTCTCACTGCATTAATGTATATTTCAGCATGTTTCTCAACTTTAAGTAGTTGTTGTATTTTATGAACTACACCATTTTTTAGCATAATTTCTGCACCGGCATTTTCCTTGGCAAGCACAAGGAGGTTAGACATAGCTTTTTCACGTTTCTCAAGATCTTCCTGCAAGTTAAATGCAAGTTTAAACATTTGTTCCACTTTGTTACTGGTTTGAGCATTCTGCCTAGCTCGCTCTTGTACTATAACGTGTAACCGCGACAGCACTGGTTGCACTGCCTTGTTAGTGGGATCTACAGTAAATATAGCTTTTGCATCACGGTATGCTTCCTCAAATCTTTCCAAGGACTCCAAGGCTTGTGAACGTCGAAATAAGGCTTTTGGGTCTTCCGGCACAATCCGTAAGGCTTCATCACAATCCTTGATAACTTGTTCAAAGTTTTTTGTTTTCAAGTAGGCCGCAGCGCGATTCTTCAGGTAAGTAGACAGATCGCGGCTGTCTCTCTCGGCGAGGTCGATGGCTTTGGTGTAAAGGGATATGGCTTCTTCAAAGTTTTCAACTTTAAAGGCTTCATTTCCCTTATTCTTATAGGTTTCCGCTTCTTCACTGTGAACTCCCATTGTTACCTTCTTCAACTTTGTCAAATTATATATTGGTGTGCTGTCCCGCAATCCTTTTATACACTTATAACGATTGTTCTAGTAAGGCCTGGTAAGTTCATCTCAAATGCCCATAGGAACTAAAATAGATATTTATTTTTGTACCGCAGTATGCGAGAAAAAGACAGGAGTCACAGACACAGATCAAAGAGTATGTAACCACTACAGGTATTTGATCCGTGACAGCTACGTTTTGAAGCTTAATGTATGCTATGTAAACAAAATGTATGATAAAAAACGACCTTCTGGATGTGCATTGTTAAAATTGTTTACAATGGTATAAATACTTTTTTTCTGTATGAACTGTTTACATCTTGAACTTATTAATAATTCACATAAAATAATATACTTTTTAGAGGAAACATCAAAACAGTCTGGTAAAAATAATTTTGTTAAAAGCAAGTTTTAGAACGTAGCAATAACTAATCTTTGAGTGACAGAGTGATACACCAAAAGACCTTACTTAACTGTGTTGTGATATGTATAAGGTCTTTTGATACACCTTTGTATAATCTCTATTCTCAATAGGTTTGTTGATAAACGGCGAAACGTCTTTCGAAAGGGTGTACTCTTTAAAATTGAAAACAAGCAACTTAGTAAATGGATATCATTTTATTTATTTTTTTGAGGGGAAAATCATCAAATGGCTTTTCTCGCCCATGGTCTTCCAACTCAAAACGCCCCCAAACCTTCTCCTGCTTTAGACCGAGGCCGCGGTGCTTTATCTCCGCAACCTCGGCAGAAGGGGTCTACCTCAAAATGGGCTTAATGTTCATTCAACAACAAATAATAAATAAAAGAGTAAAGTTATACTCTTTGCATGAAACTTACATTTGTAAATCTATGGTTTAAATTCAGTCATTCATAATCGTTTACCATAGACAATACGTTATTACTATTTTCTTTCTACTTCCCGAAATACAGTTTTGGGATATCCGCGTGTTTAAAATTTCACGAATTGTAAAAGAATTAAATAATAGAAATGTCAGCAATCAGTTTACTTAATCCTAAAGCTGAATTAGCGAGAGCTTCTCAAGCATTGGCTGTGAACATTTCTGCCGCAAAAGGAATTCAAGATGTGATGAGAACTAACCTCGGTCCTAAAGGAACAATGAAAATGTATTATTTTTTCTGATTTTACATTGTATTTTACTTTCAAATTAATTGAAAACACTTTTTTTTAGCTACTAGAATCACTTTTAATATTGGAAAGTTGTGTTTTTAAAATTTTTGATAGTTAAATTCTCATTGAAAAAGTCATATGATCTCGACTTTTTTTCTTGAAGTTCACTAAAAAAAAAACACAATTTCAAAACTTTACTACTTTTTAACTCAAAACATCGTCAACAACAATGCGGATAACCATCTTGAATAGTATATTATCAAATTAATATTTTTCAGGTTGGTTTCTGGAGCTGGTGATATAAAAATCACTAAAGATGGTAATGTACTCCTACACGAGATGCAGATCCAGCACCCGACCGCGTCACTTATTGCTCGCGCTTCTACCGCCCAGGACGATGCCACTGGAGATGGTACCACATCTACCGTTCTTCTCATTGGTGAACTCCTGAAGCAAGCTGATATTTACATTAGTGAAGGTATACTTTCACCAATTTTCAATGAAATACTTTATCTTGTCTTGGCGATGGATAATGTTTCTACTATACTGCTTTTGGAGATATTTTAGTATACCATAAATGGTGTATTAAATTTAAAAATATAAATTACTCAGGTTTGCACCCGAGGATCCTAACTGAAGGGTTTGATGTAGCCCGAGTGAAGGCTTTGGAAGTTCTTGAATCAATCAAGATTCCCATTGAAGTAAACAGATCTGATTTACTTGATGTTGCCAGGACATCTCTCAAGACTAAGGTATGTCTTATAAGTAAGGTTTAAAAATATGGCTTCATAGATGTAATTGAGTAATAGCTGTATTTAAACAATTATTTAACTTACCAGTCAATGTTTATTATTTTTATGACTGGCTAATTTTTTTGTGGTTGAATAGAATAAACACTTAATTTAGCTTTATTAATAACTTATGTCATTGGCTATGTCATAGGTTCATGCCAGCTTAGCTGAAGTGTTGACTGATGCATGTGTGGATGCAGTGCTGACTATCCGTGTACCAGAGAAACCAGCTGACTTGCACATGGTAGAGATCATGGAGATGCAACACAAGACTGCTACAGAGACCACCCTTATCAAAGGTAAATAATTGGATTTTAGTTTCAAACTAAATATTTGTTTTTTTTTTTGTCAGTTAATGTTATATTTATATAAATGATTTTATATTTTTATTTATAAGTTTTTCTCTTGTAAGAACACCATTAAATGTATTCCTTTGCTATTTGTTATTAATTCAGTTTATCAGTGATTTAATGCTAATTTTGTTTTTATAGGTTTGGTGCTGGACCATGGCACTCGCCACCCTGACATGCCGAAACGAGTTGAGAATGCCTACATCCTCACATGTAACATTTCTCTAGAGTATGAGAAGACTGAGGTTAATTCTGGATTCTTCTACAAGTCTGCTGAGGACAGGGAGAAATTAGTAGCTGCTGAGCGTGACTTCATTGATCAGAGGGTTAAGGCGGTAAGTTAAATTTTTTAATACTTTTTATTTTAATGCTAATGGTAAGCAACTGGTCCAGCAACACCAGAGAAGTTGCCAAGTGCCTATTGAGGAAAACAGGTTTTGGAGATTTAGGGATTTGGGAAGGTAAAGGTCATTGGTAGAAACTCACTCATACCCTGAAACACAATGCTTGTTGTGTATGTAAAATATTATATCTATATGTGTTTTTTGGATGAGAAGAGTTGAACTTGAACATCAAGCTCAGTGGCGTGCCATTGGGGAGGCCTATTTCTAGCAGTGGACAAATCAGGCTGATGGTGATGATATTTTTAACTAAAAATCGCGGGTTACTCACGTGTAAGTATTGAGAAAAGCTCTACTAGTTTCGAACCACAGAGGGCTTCTTCCTCATGAGCAGCGTGCGCGGACGCGGCGACGTCGCGCAGCCTACTGAGCGCAAACTAGTAGAGCTTTTCTCAATACTTACACGTGAGTAACCCGCGATTTTTAGTTAATTTAGTATGTCTCACGATAGTTATTATAAATGATATTTTTGCTTGCATGTCAAAGTCAAAATAATTTATTCCAACTAAACCATAAATAGGTACTTTTAAAACATCAAAATAGAAAAGTAGTCTGTCAGTCTTTTCACAATAAGGACTTTTAGATACAAAAATGCTGAAATTTTGTGTGCTTCTACTGTATTACTTCTCTTATAGATGTTTATATATGTATATTAGTTTTTAATTTGTGCTATGTTTTTTTATATTACAGATTATTGCTCTGAAGAAAAAGGTTTGTGATGGCACAGACAAGAACTTTGTTGTTATCAACCAGAAAGGTATTGACCCTCTTTCTCTCGACGCCTTCGCGAAGGAGGGAATTATGGGATTGCGAAGGGCTAAGAGACGTAACATGGAGCGTTTGGCGCTGGCGTGCGGTGGTACAGCCATGAACTCTGTTGATGGCCTCAATGAGGAATGCCTAGGTTTCGCTGGTCTTGTGTATGAGCATATACTTGGTGAAGAGAAATATACTTTTGTAGAGCAGTGCCAGAATCCCCAATCTGTTACTATTCTTATCAAGGGACCCAACAAGCACACTCTTGCACAGATCAAGGATGCGGTTCGTGATGGCCTTAGGGCTATCAACAATGCTATTGAAGATAAGTGTGTCATTCCTGGCGCTGGCGCCTTTGAAATCAAGGCTAACACCGAATTATTGAAATACAAGGACACTGTTAAGGGAAAAGCACGCCTAGGAATCCAAGCATACGCCGAAGCCTTGCTAGTAATCCCCAAAACCTTAGCTATTAATTCAGGCTATGATGCTCAAGATACTATTGTAAAGCTTCAAGAAGAGTCTCGCCTTAGCCCTGATCCCATTGGGCTCGATTTGAGTACAGGCGAAGCTATCAAACCAACTGACTTGGGTATCATTGACAACTATGTTGTAAAGAAACAAATCATCAACTCCTGTTCTGTTATTGCCAGCAACCTCCTTCTTGTCGACGAGATTATGAGAGCAGGAATGAGCAGTTTGAAGGGATAAAAATAACTTTTTAACAATGATAAGTTAATGCTATGATGATAGCTATACATTTATTTTTCAAATAATTAATAATTCACTAGTATTATTTACTTTTCACTACAAAGTGCTAATTTTAATATTGCTTCAGTTAATAACAACATTGGGGCCTTCACAATATATCTTATTTGCTTTACTTCTAAAAATGAAATAAAATCTTACTAATAAATATTTTGTTTCATTCGTCAATAAAAAACAAGAATATTTTTTTAGTTTTATTGGGGTCAACACATAATATACAAATATCTTTTAAGTATTACATATTAGGCTCAGCCTACCTGTTGTACAATATTCATTCAGTAAATAGCTTTTGTTTATAGAAATATTTATGCTGAGAGATCAATTTTTTAAAAACAATATAATTATGTACTTGGAAGTATACATTCACAATATCCTAACTTGTGATGTTATCACGAATATATCAACTTCTGCTTACATCATTTTTGATTATGATAAGTAAATGCCGAAAAAGGTAAACGCGCTATGCACATGTAGGTATGGGCTGCATTTGTACATACCGTATCTTCGCAGACTTATGTTTTGTTCCTGAATTCTGGATCTATTTGTTACAGCATCTGATGAGAATATGCATACAAAACTCGTCCAATTTCTTGTCCGATATCGATATTAGGTCAAATAGCATTTTTGTCCGTCACTCCTTTCGATAAAATAAGCAGAATTCTATACTAGAATGTGTAATATCCCTCTACTAATCCCTTAAGCTACAGTAACCATATTGGTAAATTCAAGCATATAATAAATACAGTAAAGTTCAGTAACTTGTGTAGTTTTCGCAAACTTGTTGGCACCACCCACCTCTATCTGGAGAAATAAAGATAGTATTTTTATCTGTTTTGTCATAAACTTACAAGTAAAACATAATTGAGATAAATGTTATCATGTTTTACAGCACATCATTACAAAACCAAATAACATATACCTGTGAAAGACATAGTTCAAGTTAAAAAGTAAAAACCAAAAGACATTTCATTATTTTATATTGGATGGATGGAATGTTTATAAATAAAAATATAAAATGGTATCTAAAAATAAAAATTTATAAAACATGGAATAATAAATCTGATTGCATTTATATGAGGATAATAAAATCAAACCATCAGGCAATAGTGTAAAAGCGCTTCTTAAAAGGACACATACTAGAAGTTCCTATATTTTTTTTAGAAGTTATGATTGCAGTGATCAATCTACTAATAGACACTATATATTATAATTGCACCACAATGACAACACATTCACATAAAACTATACCATAAAATATATACCTTCTACCATAACCATATACTTTTTTAACAATAGGAATAGACCTCAATGAGAAAGGCCTGATATTTTTTGTTAATTAGTTAATGAGAAACAGCTAGCTTATATACTATAGCTATATTCGCAACAATAAAAGGGAGATTCGCAAACTATACATGTGCTCCAATAATAAAATTATGGAAAAATATTAGCAGAGCTAGTTGCCACCATGCAATGGAAAGAATAAATTAGTGACATGTATAATTGCTGTGGAACTACATAGTTACATAGCCTGTGGTAAAATTTGAAGTTACTACATTTATAGACGATTTTTACAATAAAACAACCTTTATATAACAAAATAAATACTAAAAAGCAGGTTTTTGTAGAACTTAAATGTTAATTCTTAGGTGACTAGCTTTACTTTAACAGTTAACTTTATTATGCACATTGTATTTTCTTTTTTTTTGTAATCAAATTTAATTGAAATCATATGGGCATTTATAAATGTTGAATTGCTTGCTTGTGACCCAGTTGTATTGTTTTTAGTTCTTTTGTTTAGCAGCTAGAGCAGCCCGCTCATTGATGTCAATAGTAGACAAGTTAATGGCTCCAACAACACCCTGCAACACTGATATGCCAGCCTTCACGATTGCCACTGGCGCTGAGATGATAGCAATCAGCTTGTACAGGCCAATTCCCAGAACTGAAATATTAAATTATTTATTCATCAATTCCTTAGATATTTTGTAACATTGTCTTAACTTTCAATTATTGCAGTCATTGAAAATTATTCATAAATTACCTGTAGGACCACTGTAGAAGTACATCACATAGAGAGCAGCATAGAAAGCCTCATTGCCAGCACACATGAAGAAGAGAACCAATTTATTTGTGTAATAGATGCGCATGATAGGATTCTCTGACATGTCAATGAACTTATGAGATGCTTTGCCCTGCAGGGTCACAGTGTGAAGATACATCCAGTGGCAGGTGATGTCAATAGCCATGGATATTTGGAACCAGAATGTGTATTGTGGGTAAAATGTTGCCAGAGTCATCATCAGGCAGGCAGTACCAGCACGATCAGTTAGCTGATCCAGAATTGCACCAAACTTTGTGCCTGAAACAAAAGTTTCCATATAAAGCATCAAGGGTTTATGTAAAATAATGTCAACAATATATTGCACATATTATGTTACACATGCTTGGATCTAACTTCAAAGCAAGCTGAATGAGAAATATAGGTCAGGTGTCATGAATGCACGCATTGTACACATTTGCCGAAACATAGGTAAACGCCTTAGTCTAATATTAGCCCACATACTCATATCTGTCATATCTACAGTAGGTACTCAGAATTATTTTGGCTTAACAAATAAAATATAGAGATGTCCCGTCTAAAACATATTTATTTGCTAACTTGGTAAGATTATCAATATTATCTCTTGCCGGCTTTAACACTCGGTACCAGACCAGATAAGTAATTGAATTATATGATACCTTATAAAGCACTTACTTTGATTAAAGTATCTTGCAGCATGCCCATCGATAGCGTCCAATAAAGCCGAAGTAACATAGCAGACACACGCCAAAATACAATGTGTTGGCATAAAATAAAAGGATATAATCGCAAGGATTACTCTACCAAAACCTGAAACAATATCAACAACAATAGGATGAAATGCGCAAATTCACAACTATGTAAAAAATTGCTTATAGAACCTGTACACACCAATTATATTAGGAACGAAAAGGAAAATATTTTCTTGACTTTCAGTCATTTTTAAAGCGGAAATATGAAAATATTTCTTCAGAATAATATTTGGTATAAATGTAGAACTTCGCCCAAAGTGATTGATGTCAAATGAAATGAGTAGGTAATTGACTAGGTACCTTTATCATAGAGAAAAATATTTATTTGACAGTTGCTCTTCTAACACTTTCCCATAGACTAGAATTCTTTTATTAACATAGTTTTGACTTTTATTGAATGACTGCATAATGACTGTAATAAAATTAATTGGGTTAACTGAAGGCGACGATAGCGATTTAATCTGTTATAATTGGTATTGGCTCTAAAAATTAAGTTTCGATTACAATATTTCAATATAAATTCAAAACTCTTTCTAGAATTAAAGGCTTCTTAGTATTTTATTCATCATAATATGATTGAATGATTGATTTATTGATTTAGATTGTATTACATATTATTAAATGTAGTAAAATTACTAAATTGTTCTTTGACTGTATAAATAATACTTAAATAATAATTTAAAACTGGCATGCAAAGTCAATTTGAAATTATAAAATGTGTATAATCTGTGCGAAATCTTGAAATTTGCGGCACTAGAGGGCGTTCTTGTAGTCGTTAAAAATGTTGGACGGAATCTGTCGAAAATGATGAATCCGTTTTTGCAAATGGTTAGAACTTTCATTATGTTGTAGCTAAATTACTCATCATGATTCGATTTAGTAGCTAGTAAGTGGAAAAGACATTTTGTCGGGGAAAAGAGTGATTTCGGTGTGCGAAAGTCATACGACTTGTGTCATCTGACTGCTCTTCCTTCAAGATGGCTCCTCCGCCGGAGTATGATAAGGAACCCAAAGCCCCGGACAAAAGTGCCACAAATATTTCCACTGAAGATTCGAAACTTCTACATAATCTAGTAAATGACCAGCATACAAATTCAGACCACAAACCAACAAATACGGCAGCAACCGTAGAAGTTGAGGTAAGTCGATCTCTGCTGCCATTTTTTGATTTTAGTTTGTGTAAAGTAGGAACTTATTAGTCAAAGATAATTAATTTTTCCGATGTACAATCTCGTGTAATAAATATTGTTCTATGAGTGTTCGTATTTTTTTCTTAATTAAGACATTTGTAACAATGTGTGTGTGTAATAATAAAGTAGGTAGGTGAAAATGGCGAAGGATAACAGTTCTGTCAAAAATATTAATTATTTTACTTTATCTGGTGTACAGTGAGCATGAGTATGCAATTTATATTGGTTTGTGCACGCTTATTTACAACATGTATTGAATAGTTTATTTTCAAAACTTGTTTAATGTAAAACATTATTAATGTACATAAATTGAGTACACATTCAAGGATATCCTTCATAGTTCATACTTAGTTTGACTTGTTATATCCTTTTTACATCAAATAACTGTCATAGTGTTAGGATGTGTTAATATTTTAAAATAAACCAGGTAGGCAAATACTACAGCCACAAGATAGGATCATTTTGTTTTACCTTACTTGATTATAAAAGATTTGTTCTATACAACAAGGATAGTAAGATAAAATTGTTCTAAAATTGACTATTCAAATATTTACATAAAAACTGTACAAGTATTTTATTTATAATTTATTATTATTCCTCTGGGGATCTGTGTGGCAAAATTGTTTCATAATAAAATTAGTAGGTACTAGGTAGTAGGTGTAATAAGGGGAAAAATCCATCACTTCTCCATAGTACTTATTTTTAAATAGATTTATTTATCTGTGACATAAAATAGTTTTTAAATATTTTAAATAAAAGAGGTCAGTACAGTAGTCATTTATCTATGGAGATTAGAAAAATACAAAGTCATGATCAATGACACTATCTATGTGTCAATAGTAAATAAGGTTCTAACCCAAAGTTTTTATTAAGATTCACAATCAGGCAAAACTTCTAAAAAAAAACTTTGATTTTTTTTTATATATATCTAAGTGCATGCTTGTGTAGATAGGTAATATAACACTTAAGTCATTTAAATATCAATTTAAATAATATATACAGCTTATGCAATATTTTATGATTTAGTGTAAATGTTCTTTTTCTTATTGTCACTCTCTGGGGATCATTCAGGAAAATGAATTCTGATAACATTATTAATTTATTCAGGAGAAGAATTGTTGAAAGTTGATGTAATGAAATAGTTTATTTGCGTCTGATTTGTCTCAATGCACCTTATGTATTATATTGCATAAAAAGCATGTTAGTAAGCTTCTAACAACCTGAAAGTATTAAAACTTGTCTGTAGTAAAAAAAATATTGGTGAAATTAAAGTTCTTTAATATTGCTTTGTAAAAGTTTATAATCAGTAAGAACAAGTCTTGATTAATTTATAATTAGTTATATCTATATCGGAAACTCATCAATGCCAAGGAAGCAATATGAATTGATAAGAGTAGCAGCTCTGGCCTTTCAAAATTTCTTAATTATAAATAAGCAAGTTTAACCAAAACCTGTTTCACATTTTCACCACAAATTATGATGAGGTAGGTACTTAAAAGCAAATTTTTTGTAATAACTTGTTTATATTATATAAAATACTTTACTTTCAATTGTGCTATCTTCGACACAGACAGATAAAAAATACTATGTTCACAGTACAATTTATATCACCTTCTTTAGACACATGTTCATGCTACTGATATGATTGTTTGCCACTATGACTAATGAAAACTTAATGTATGTCGTGAAACAGGACCTCAATGTTTTTTTAGGGATATAAACTTCAGGCAAAAACCATGGATTAAAGCAATAGAAGAGTATAACAATCCAAGTGTCTGCTAAACATTAAGTTCACCAATGTTGGCTAACTTTTTTTCATTCAAATTATAATTAATTTATTCTTCTTATGTGAGTGCTTTCCCTATATTGAGTAAAATAAGAATTATTTTATGGGTCCCTATTGAATCACGCTTCTGGTCCTTATATCTAGATTTTTCTATGTTATCACATAGAATTAAGGCAACACAGATAAAAAAATGTATAAAAATCGAAAATCAGCAATTTCATAATATGTTGCAATACGAGAAAAATAATGTGGCGTTTCGCAGTGCGGTCGGGGATCCAATTCAGTTCGTACGGTCAGCTCAGGTTTCAAAGCTTTAATTCATGAAATGTGATTTGAAACAATCGCGAGACAAATTCTGAGCGAGTGAAGCGAGTGAGTAGTAAAAACTTTACTAACAGTAATTTCTTGCTATCAATAAAACATTTGCACTCGTGTATTTCATCGTGTCATCTAGCCTATCTAATACTTCCTACTTATAAAATCCTTAGTACGTTCATAAAAACTTTCTGTCTAATCAATTTTTTTATCGTATGAATCATTGTTACACGGTATCTCTGACAACAGATGGTTTGCTGAAAAAGGCAGGTGAACTCAGGTACCTACTTGCGCAGCCGTCGAATCATCCCATCATATTTGGCGTGAATCAAAAATATATTATTCGATTTCGTTGTAACGATACTCTAGCACGAGATGAAAAAGAAAGTATCACACATTTTACCACGATTGTACAGTGTGGATAATTATTTTGCCGAGAAAAACTGTGCTGGTTTGGCGAGCAAGCAATGTAGCGATAGGTATAACGCTGAGCGCACCCGGCAACAGTTCTGCGACATTTCTCCAATCGCGTGCTTTTGAGCTAGGTCATAATTTCACAGCATCTTAGAAAGAACTATTAGCATGCAAACTGTGCATCTTGATTCGATTTAGAAAATAAATAATTAATAATGATCAGATTTACATGCTAAGGCAGCACACTGAACCGACGGTTTCTAAAATTCCCGTTTAAAAATGTTGTCCTACATAACTAAGGACATTATAACCTTTCACTTTCTTGTTCAATGATTTACAATTTCAATTCTTGTATCAACTCTGTGGCTGGGGCATGAAAAGGCTGTTGGCAAATTATTTCGAGCAGAACTGTAAAGGTAGACAGTGTACGGATCGGTGACAATAGTGGCGACAGAAGGAGGCGGTGTAGGTTTACGCGGTGCGGGCTGGCCGTGTAACGGAAGCTTGGGCACCGCATTGTTGGCCCGTCACGGAGAGCCGCAGCTGCCGCAGACGGCACTTGACCACTCTCACCACAGATATTGTGTCTGAAATAACTCCAAGCCACGCCAAGCTTATCTTTGATTGTTAGTAACCATTGTTGTACTGAATTGAGGAAATGCACTTAAGTTCAACTAATCCTAAATCCTAAGGTCTGATAGTAGTACAACTAACCGATCTTCTTTACTTATTTCATTCGCAAAAATATCATCATTTTTTATGTTTAAAATAGTTATCTTAGCATTCTAGCAGTGTTGTTCACTGACCTAGATTGTTCAGATCATGTTTGAGTCTAATAAAATACTCATATAATCAGTGACGAAATATTTTACAGTATCCACCGTAAGCTATGGTCTAGTTTTAAATGAGTTCATGTAAAGGATCAAAAAACTTCAAGGCCTACATTTTCATTGCACGCTACAGATATTGGCACGAACTTATCGTAATTGTTCGTATTTTAATAATATATTTAAAACTACTCTTGATATCTATATGTTGCTTTAGAAGGTAAGCCAGATCAATATTTTACATTTTATTTAAGAAAAGTTTTTTTTAGCGTTTTCTAAAAAGAGGCAGGCAGAGTCTAGTATAAAACATTATGGTTACGTTAAATATTTACAGTGTTTTCAAACCACAAAAAGTATAAAAACCTTTTTTATTTCATCACAAAATTGTTTGACACCCAATTGAACGTAATTGCATGGTGCGACGTCTCTATGACAACGTAAATTACACTGGTTTTCACGCTCATCTTCGTGTCTAACGTTTTTCCCTTAGAACACTTCTCTAGTCGATGCCTACAGCCTAATATTTCCTATTAGTCATTTATCTTTTCTACTTCACAAGCGAATGAATTGTGTGATTGGAACGATCTTCGTACTTTATCTAAAGGTATGATTGAATAATATTGTAAACTTGTATCACGTATCATAAGGCTCTGTATGAAATTACAAGTTTCAATAGCAAATGTTGGTATCCTACCTCGACCACATGTTCTAATTTAACACGTGTCGGATTCTAGCTTGGCTTCAGTTTACCCTGCGGCTTTTGGTTGCTGTACAGGCTGATTTCGTTAACATCAGCAACGACAGCAATTTTTGCTTAGGTAGGATTAAGTTAGAACATGTTTCACTGTAAGAATAAACCCTACTTTTGTAAAGTGCATTCTGCTTCACAAGGCGCTCATTGCTTTGAGAATAAAATAGCAAACGTCACAACATCTACATACGTGTTTTTAAAAGAAATTGACTCATCACACTACTCATCACTAGTGGGTGGTCGTAGTTCTACGACAGAGCATACCCTAAAGAAAAATTATGTTCTAAGAACAGTTTTCCACCTCGGCTGTACTTACAGCAATTCATAAACTATTTGGCACTCATCCAATACTGCAGGTTAGCTTTTGTATGTTCCATTTTTTCCAGTCGCGCCAACTTAACGCTATTTTGCTAATGAGTCACGAAACACTGCTATATTAGCCTAGCATTCATAATTGCGATCAGACATCAAACAATAACTTATTTTGATTAGAATATACCTAGTCTTTTTTATCTTCCACCGTTTCTCTCTAACATCGATTCGATCTATTGATATTAGAATCAATATTTATATGTCGCTTCCATTTGACTAGATTTAGAATGCTTGTACGATATAAGACACATGGACTCTCGCCAGGTTGCAATCATATCGTATTATGACTGAAGCACCAATTTTGTCTCCACCTTCCTCAAAATTACTCGTGTCCTCAGAAATGGCCGATTTGATGGCCGCATTCTATGCACTTTATTCGAGTGCTTAAACTAGGTATCCACGTCATTGTTACAGCGGTATTTATTTGTTTCGTACATTTTTTGTTAGTTTTTTTATTATTTCCCGTTACTGTTTTTAAGTAGGTATTGTTGATTCTAGCGACAGAATGTTTTGGAACGTTTTTTTCTCACGTCGTTTCTGGTACATAACTTTCTTACAACTTTGAAACAAAATAAGAAACTAATCATAAGTGAAGTCTGTTGTTATCAAACGCTTAACATTCACGAATTAGCTGGTGCGTCATCGATTTAAAATTACGAGTAAACGAGGAATAAGTTTCTAAGTAATAAATCGGTTTCATATCAGACGATTATACTATGAGTTGACAAAATTATATAAATGCAACAAGTGACTTGAAAAGTGTCTGATATCGGCCGAGGGACGGGAAACTGTTAATACGAGGGACAAGGGCGCGCCATCGATCCTGTCTCTCGTCGTTCCTGGCCCGACCCTGACCTCACCGGAGAGGCTCGTGCGGGCGCTGTAGGACGCACAGATTTCATGACGTCAATCCTTTCACTCATCGCTCGCACCGGGTATGCAATTATTTGTTTGTTTACCTATATTCATCGGGGCTACGCCGATACCCGGAATAAGGTAACAATTTTACACATTCGTTCTCTTTAAGCGAAGTAGAAATGAAGCTGTATTTCTTGTCTGCTTGTTCTTAGTTTGACAACAAACTTTATGACATGTAAGGCGCCTTGTGTTTCTAGACTTTTTAGTTTTGTAGTTGATTTATTATTTATCTTACTAGGCTCCTGCGAGTATACAGCGCTATTAGGCAAATGACAATAACACTAGTTTTACGCGAAGTGAATGGAAAAAGTGTTTTCCTATTAATTTAAACGATTGTTATTCTGTTTTTTTTTTTGTTATATATATTTCGTTTGCCCTAGCCAATCGATTCGGTCTATTTGTCACTATTTTTAATCTATGGGAAGATTGCTTTCTGTGCAAATGCCGTCTTGAGTTATGGTTATATCCAGAGCAATCAAGCTTGTTTACTGGATATTTTATTCCCCCCACATTAGATAAAGGTTATTTCACAATTATGGTTACAAAAGTCAATCATCAATTTATCGTTAAGTTATCAGTTCACCCTCAGCCAACCTTCTCATTTTCGCACTATAAGTGTTCAATAAATTTAATGCTCGCGTAGTTTATGATTCATTATCAATCATAAAAAGATTAAACAGATAATACATTGACATTGTTACATAAAAAAAACTATTTGTTTGCTATTGAAATAAGCTAAATGGGTCCTCTACGTTTGTTGTTTCAATCGGCACGAATGGGTCGGCTCGACCGGAGTGATACCACGGCCTTACAGAATACCGACGTGAAACAACCACAGCGTTGTGTTTCGTCGTGTGAGTGAGGTTACCGGAGGCCTAATCCCTCCCCTCCTCCGATCCCTCCCAATCCCTAAATCTCCAAAACCCTAATCTCTAAAAGGTCGGCAATGCACTCGTTACTCCTCCGTTGCGGGGGGGCCCATGGGTGGCGCTGATTACTTACCATCAGGTAATATGTCTGCTCGTTTACCGACCTAAAAAAAAACTAGTGCTTAATAAAAAAGTTTTTTTTTTTAAATTTGACACACGGAAATGAATTTAATTCAATTACTTATAACTTTTCTATTACAGTTTCTTAGTGGCAATTTGACAATATGGATTTAAAGTTGAATGCGCTCTTCCTAATGCAGGAATAGCATTCAGAATAGACGAAACTTATAAAGGTTTCAGAAAATCCATTATTCTTAGTTATCGACAAACACACATACTTTATTAATTCAACAAAAATTATGATACTCGTACTTTTGTACTGTCAAGAACCGATTTCATTATACTTAATGACTGTCTTGTGTATTTTTGTAAAACTTACTGAGATTGCTTATCGACGATTTTAGTGTTACGAATTCTGGATAACAATGTAATACGTGGAGACTAGACAGTGTGTCTCGTATTTGTAGGAAAAATATTGGCATTTTTCCATATGTTTGTCAGTTTTCTTTTCAGATCAGACGCGATGGTTGCGTGGTTTTATCTCTATTAGTATTGAGTCGGTATTATCAGTCGCGGAATCTGCGTTGTCAGCGTTAAATAATGCTATGGATAAGCTATTATAAAAATATGTGCAATACAACTTGTAGTTCTTAAAGGGTTCTTGCTTTTAGATCTATACTAATATTATAAAAAGGTAAAATTTTTAAGTTTGTATGTTTGTAAGTTTGTAAGTAGGGGGTAATCTTTTGGACCGCTGGTCGGATTGCTAAAATTCTTTCACTGATAGACAGCCACAATGTTCCTTAGTGCTATATATAGGCTATAATACACCAAGCTACGGTCAAATGGAGCCGAGCAGCGCGTGAAACCGCATGAGAGTAGCTAGCATGGTATAATCATATCAACATCAAACATAACTATCGATGTTTTAAGAAATCGAAAAGTATGATTGTTTTATTCGGTATAGTTTATCATTAGGTTCACTTTACATATTCTGTCCTTCTTTTGGGTCGATGTAAATTATATTCCTAACCTGTAAACCCAATCACCTAGATAGAAATGTAAGCAAATAGAAATATTAGTAATTAGTAGGACATTCATTAATGTGATTGAATAAAGCACAAAACTGGCTCGCCATTAAATTAATTAGTGTTTGGAATTACATCAGCCCCGTGACTTGTAAGTGGCGTGACTATCGTGTCTGGTTGAATAATGAAAAGCAACTGACGTTTAAGCATTCGTGCTACAGCATCAGACCTAAGGCGCTCGCACTTGACTTTATACTTAGTAGCTGGCCGATCCTCGTTACAATAAAATCATCTAAGTCTAACGTGTTAATCTAGGTCATGGTTTATCTACGTACCCGCAGTCTTATCGAAATCTATTACTCGCATGAAAGACTAACTATACTAAATATCCGCTCATGTTATTTATTCCGACTATAAAAATCTACGTCCTGCATTATAAAGCTAATAAAATTTCTAATTCGTGTCTGAAATTTAGCTTAGTTTATTGAAAGCAGCGCAAAAAATGTTTCATACGACCCTGTTATCAGCAATTTGTTGAATAAATGAGATAAGAAATTATATAAGCTTAATTCACAGGGCACAGGCCACATGCAGAGCCGATCGTGTTGATCAATTATTGTTTTATAAATTGTTTACTGTTTGCGTACAGACTGTCGACGTTACTTTGATATAAAATTCGCGTTAAACCGATCTGTGACTGCTTTATTAGATCCTATTATTTATCACATCAAAAATTATAATATATTGAAAATTGTCAGGTACATATTATGTAGGGATTGGGGGAAGGGAAGGATTGGGCTTACCCCAATCCTAAGGGTTGGAGGCCCAAACCTTGCCCTCCCCCAATCCCTACATAATATGTACATGTCCCCAACCTCTAAATCTCCAAATCCCTAGTCCCCAAAAGGTCGGCAACGCACTCGTAACTTCTCCGTTGCGGGTGTCCATGGGCGGCGCTGATTGCTTACCATCAGGTAATCCTCGTCTGCCGGCTCGTTTGCCGGTCTATTACATAAAAAAAGTAGTCAATGAAACATTATTTCGTGGTCTTGAATCATTTTGGTTTTCTGAATCAGCTTAATTGTCAGTGGTAAAGTTGGTAGTTCACAATGTACCATCACCGTGGAGATTAAACAATCGATACTTTTGTCAACAGAACAACAAACATGTGGAGACTTTAGACGACGGACAATTGCGAGCGCTGTTGGACGAGGCTATCACATACAAGTGTCCCAAAGATCGAGAGGGTAAAAGCAGTCTATTTAAGGTGAGTGCTAAAAATAATATTTATTTGAATGGCAGTCTTACGTTATATAAATCCCTCTTTGAAACACGTCTTGTTTGTCGTAAACTTTTTGTCAAATTTTTATTTGTATGGTATCATTTTGAACTTTTGAGGAAATTACGAGTAAGCGATCGTGACCTTTTTTCTTGTAGTGCTTTAAACATTATTGTCGTTCAGAAAAAATATTCGCCGAGGGTAGGTGAAGTGGCGTCGACAATGCGTAATGTGAAGTGTGTGTGTGTTAGGAGTTGCTGGAGGAGGTGGAGCAGGACGAGCAGGCGTGCGAGGCGGCGGCGCGCACGCTGGGCGGCGGGCGCGCGGCGGGCGGGCGGCGCGGGCCGCGGGGCCGTCGCGCGCTGCCGCACTCCAACTCGCTGCAGGACCTGGTGGCGGCGCTGGCGGCCGAGCCCGCGCCGCGCCGCCACCACGTGCGCCACCACGCGCCCGCGCCCGCGCACTCCGTCTCCGCGCGCGCTATACACGGCGGCAGTCTGCCCTCCGGGGTCGACACCTGTGAGTCATATACTATTATCATCGAAGCCGGTTGGACGGATTATCCCTTTCTTGATAAGACTACTTGAAGCGTAGTCAGGTTGCCGAAAATTTATCTGACTGGTTGCAGTATTGCAATGTAGAAAATATTACACGAATTAATTGAAGTTGAGCACTCAATTTCCCCATGGACTCAGTGTTAAGAAATAACTAATGATTGCTTGCGAGCATTGAGGAAATCCATCTGTGTTGCCGGAAAAGAATAAGCTTAAAATATACAATGGTGCCACTTGTTTGCAGCGTCGCTGCTGAGCGAGGAGCCGGCTCGGGGCGCCGGGTACCTGGCCACGGTGCGCTGCGTCAACCCGCCTCCGCTAGCCGAGAGACGCGTGTCTGCTAGCGACGCCAACACGCCCGCTGAAATGGAACTACTCAACAGGTATGATCCAAACAGAATTAATTAAATATGCGTCTGGTCACTAAACTGAGGTTAAAAAACATAGCTAGTAGGTACTATCAAAACATTAAACAATGTAACAAACATTAGGATAAAACAAGGAAAAACATGTCGAGTGGTGACGAAAGTGATCTCCCGCACGGAATTTGTTCACAGAAGAAATAAGCCGATGTTCCCGATGACGTACACGGCGCGCGCCACGCTGGAGATAGGCAGCGGCAGCGTGTGCTCGGGCCGCGCGGTCACCACCACGACGGCCTCCAACCAGGTGCGTACCCAGCGTACCCAGCCCAACCAGCCCAACCAGCCCACCCAGCGTACTCAGCCCGCCTCACCCATCTCCCCGCACCGCACCACACCACAACTCCGACTCATGAACGCTTTGCGCCCTCAGAGGCAACTCGATCAGGGTGGTGGGATGCATGAGCTACCGGAACTCGAAGCACGCACCGCGCCACGGACCGACAGACCGCGCGGCCCGGTCGCACTATGCCGACACTACCACAGTGCGGAAGACCAGCCTGTCGGACACGCCGGAAACGTTACATCAAAGAAAAAGCACACAGACAATTCTCAGCTGTGGGCCGATAATGTTGATAACTGGTATAAAGGCTTGTCGACCTACACGCACCCTCTATATTACAGTAATGAAAATCAAACAGAAACACGGCTTGTGAATACTAAAGCAATGGATAATAAAAATAAACAAAATAACATTGCAGCTACCAGCGTGGAAAGCAAGTCTGATTTAAAGTATGCAGGAGCAAGTCATGACAATAATTGTGATGATGCAGGTCTAAAAGACGATTTAGAAATAAATGTTATGTCTCGTATACCAGAGCCAAATAGACTGAAAGAATCTCGAGGTTTTAGAGATGTGCGTCGTTACGACGATGGACTGAATAGGGTTGAAAACTCGAAACATGACTATGATGATTGTGATATAGATTTAAGAAAAAAGTATAGGAAACAAGTAGGAGGTAACTTAGTAGTACCAACTCCGTCGGATAGAAATCCCAGGAATATTAGACGTATGACTATAGGGCAGATAGCTTTGCCACAAACTCAGGATACCTTCTGTACAGATACAGATGACAATACCAAAAGTATTAATTCCATAGATACGCAGGAAAGTTCCTATAGTATTAATAAAAATGAGGGTACTTCTCCTGGAGACTTTAGTCAATTTGAAGGAGCTTCGAGTTCATTATGTGCTAGTCCCAACAAGGCTCCTGGTGATACGAATGCTAACAAGCAAAGTCAATCACTTGATCACCCTGCGAAAGATTGTGACACATGTGATGAAGTGGAAGACATTTCTTGGCTAACAACCCCAACAAGCGATAATCATTCTGAAGGTAAAGATATAGAATTGACTGAGGTAAAGTCTAAGAATCTAAGCATCTACAGTATAGAAAATCTAAACATCAGTAATATAGACAATCTAGACATGAGTAATATAGAAAACCTAACCGTCTGTGATATAGAGGGGTCATTCGAACAATTTATGTTGAACCAACAAGTATTTCTGCAGAGTATAGAGGGTGAGGGTGATGGGAACAGTATTATGTTAGTTACCCAAGACAGTGAAAAAGAGAACCTAATAGAACCTGTATCCGAATCTGAAACATGTAGTTCCAATAAGGACGTAGAACCGAGCCTTCAGTCGTTGTGGTCACGGTGCCCGGACCCTATGTGTGGCGACCATAACTGCCAGGCCGGCAATCACAGCAAGCCACGGGATGAGCAAAACTCAACGAACGACCAGATCGTCTTAGCCCAGCTTCCTAACAATGCTTATATTTTTTTAACATTACCTCAGCCTTTAACTTCACATAATAATGTTAACATTTCTGTCCAGCCACGTCAAATAGAAAATAGTAACGATGTTAATCCTATTGTTTCTAAAAGTAATAACAAATCAAACAATACTAAGAAGAAAAAACAAAAAGCTTCTGGCGGCACCTCAGATCAAGCCGTCAGTAGCGACGCGAAGAAAAGCGCACTAGATAAAAATATCCTTAAAGTACTACTGTTTGAAAATCTCTTTAATAACAACGTTAATGAAAATATATCGCACACTTCCGAGGTGCCTGCTATCACCAGTAAAGAGGTAGGACTCCCACTACTCTTGAATGCATGATGTAGTATTGGGTACGCCAGCCGGGGCCGGCACTAACGCGCGTCTGTTTCCGCAGGTCGATTCCGCTATTTCGTTTAGTTGCATCACAACTCCAGAGGTTGTGTCCAGTTGCAACACGACGTCGTCCACGGCGCAGTCGGCGGTCGCCGTCGATCCCAAGGTAACGTATACACTGCCTCTCGGTTTTCAAACTTATATTTATACTCGTTATCAAATACGCCATTTGCAGACTTCAATCACGTTACCCATTTTAGTATCAGTTCCATGTGTTGATCTGAATAATTAGCAAAGGTCAGTAGAGTAAGTAGGTGTATGCGATGTGTGCGAGGCCCGTGTGCCCCCAGCCCCTGCAGCTGGGCAGCGAGTACCGCGCCGTCTGCAGCCTGGTGGGCGCCGCGCCCCCGAGCCCGCCCCCGCCCGCGCCCCCGCCTACCTGTCCGCGCCCCCCCGCGTCTCCACAGGTTCACTCCTATTTATCTTCTCCAATCCACACTGCCACACCGACCATAGATTCACATATCATACATTTAAACATAAGAACATACGCCATACTCGTACTCCTCAACTGAAAGACGAAAGTCATTGGACCGAACAATTTGTTTGCACATAACTCCTGAAGCTCAGTGATTTGTTCGACATCGTCATGATATCCTAACATTCTTAAATATCTCAGAAAGTTTGCAAATGGTGTGATTGTGATCCTCGACAACTGCTGCAATCACTGTAACTGCAAGCTTACTGCTGCATCTTATCGGATAGCTCTGTTGGATTCGGTTCCATTTTTGTTTCAGTACTGAAAGCGGAAATGGTCCTCGTTTTCGTAAATCTTCATTGTGACCTGTTCTTAAAGCAGATGCAATATCCGCCCGCTGCATAGTACTATAATATAACATCTATATATACAACAGTATATAGAATATCTATACACTTAATACAACAGTATTATCGTTGCTTAATGTTGTCAGAATTGTTGTAAGAGTGTATTGTGATTTGTGTGAGATATTGGCACTGATACAGTTACTAGATGACGAGCATTCATCCCGTGTCTGTTTGTCCGTGCAGCCTCGCAGCGTCATCTCCAGCAGTTTCAACGGCCTGCCACTGTCGCGGCCCAACTACGGAGCCACTGGCAACTCCGCTCCAGAAGAGTACAAGGTTATTACGCTGAATGCTACGTCGATAACTTGTATTATCTATTTTTGTTTCGTTCTATTACAATAATTTCAAAATTTTATTTATTTTATTTCAGAAGTCTCTAGATGAAAACGGCAACTCAGTACAAGGATTCAGTTCACCTCTTTCGGGATCTAGTCAACATAAAAAACCTCGGAGGAAAAAGTCTTCAAAGAATGAGACCGTTATCGACTGCCAGCAGATTGACGGCTACCAAGGAGATAAGGATGTAAACGAGCTCTTGCGGTTCATAGAATCGAACGCTGATAATGGTCGCGGTCCAAAACTAGGACGGGTAAAGCACAAGGATGACTCCGACGACAAGAGTGGCAAGAAACGCTCTACTGAGCGACGCAAAGACAAAGAAAACAAAATCAAACGCGCTACCTCCATGGAGGAGCTATCTCGCACCAAGATAGAAGACCTCACCGATGTGACCGAGTCCCCACTGCGCAGCGATAAGAAGGAGCGCCGTAGCGACGCGCCCAACAAGGCCGAGCGACGCTCGTGGGGAGACGACGCGCGCGACACTATACTGTACAGCGACCCGCCCGACTGCCCCGCCGCCGCCGAGCTTACCGACTTCCAAACCGTCACTAAGAAGCGCAAGCCGCGGCGTCGCACCGACGAACCCGAACCCGCGCCGCGACGCACGCGTCCCCCGTCGCCCCGCCCCCGCCGCGAGTCCGCGCCCCCCTCCGACCGCAGCAATGACTCCAACGACGACATGGATTCCGTGCACTCCCTTCCCGGCGCCCCTCCTGCGCCTCCGGCCGCGCCCCCGCCAGCGCAGGCCTCGTACGCAGACATCGCGCGCACACGTCACAACATCCCTGACCTCATCGAGTCCTGCAACTTCTACGGCGACGGCGCGGCGCCGCCCGCCGCCGCTCCCGCCGACGCCGACGGCTACCCCGCGCTGGACGCGCGCCAGGCGGCTCGGCGCCGCGACAAGGCGCCCACGCTGCGGCGCAAGGAGCGGACAACGCCGCCGGCCGACGGCGGCGCGGCCGAGGCGCCGGCCCCCGACGTGGTGGCGGACCGGCGCCCCGCCGTCATCCTGCTGGACTCGGGCGCGCGGCCGCGGGACATGGACGGCGTCACCTTCGGCTTCGAGCTGAACGAGCAGCTACTGGGCGGCGGCGCGCGGCGGCCGCGCTGCGAGCTGGCGCTGGGGGCGCTGTCGCGGCCGCGCTGCGACCTGGTGCGCGACGCGGCGGACGCGGTGGCGGTGCGCGCGGGGCTGAGCGCGCTGCGGTACGTGCCGCCGGCCGCGCCGCCCGACGCCGCGCAGCTGCTGCAGCTGGTGGACTACGTGGCCGCCGCCTGGGACGACGTCATGCGCGCGGCGCCCTCCAAGCTGCGCTACTACACCGAGTAACTCGCCACTGTTCCACCTACGTTTTATATGATATAGGTAAAAAGTTAGTAAAAACATAATATACAAAAGAAAAACTGACACGAAGTTAAATCATTCCGCGATGTCCTCGAGACAAATAACGTATGAGGTGCGGGTAAGGTGACGATGCTAGTGTGTTGTGCATCCACGATGGCCAAGAAAGGAGTGTAGTGTCAAGTGTCGGACTCGTCGGAGGGATGCGTCGTGTATCGAGTGGAGGGCGGTCAGTGCGCAATGGCGCGCCCTAGCTCTCCTAGTTGTACTGTGATGCGTAGATGCGACTGATCAATATCTCGTTTAACTTTTAAATGAAGTGATTACACTAATGATCTAGTGTTCTCGCTGTGGTTGAAATAAATATTATTTTGCTTCAAAGTATAAAAGTGGCAATAAGCATTTAACGGTTCAACTTGCACTTTATAAATCTTTATTTGTTAACGTAATTAAGAGGATGATGTAATTTTAGTTTGTAGTCTGGCGCGTGGACTGCTTTGCTGAATGTTACGTTGAGTGCAACATCGTTGTGTGAGTGAGAGTCACTATCGCTTTAACCTAGTATATCACTAAACAGGTGTTATTTGAATTTGCCGTATATTAACACCGTGTCACCCTGCCCTGCTTTAAGATTTAAGTTATATGTGTGAATGAACCAGATAAAAATAACACGTATGTTCTTGACTGGACTAATAGCCAAGTACAAAATTGCCTGAGTGGTTCTGTCAAAGATCTTGGTGCAGTGGTGATTGGTGAGTGCACGTGGTAGGTCGCGGCGCGCCAGACAAACTTTACTCATGTTTAGTTCCAGTTGAAGAGGCATGTATTATTTTGTTTCTGTTGATTTTTATTATGCTTTTGTTATGCTGTAATCACAAATATTTGGTAGATTTTTCTAACTAGCCACTCAAGTCTATTTTGTTATATATTTTTAAGTTTTACCATTAGATACTACCTAATGTAAATAAAATAAAGATCTTATAAGAAGTAACCTGGCGTATTAGAGGCGGCGCGAGCACGCTTGGACATGCTCTTACTACGACGCGGTTTATACTATGTGTTTGTATGCAACATATAATATTTAACTAATGTAATATCACCAATTGTGTGATTAATATTTTTCTCGTCGGATAATTCGAGTGTACATAAAATTTGAATTGTCATTCCTTAGTAAGACCGTGACCAAGTGAAATACTGCTTCTGTATGTAAATTAAACATCTAAATATTGTATACTTGTGGATGTATGTTATGTACATGCGATAACTAAAAGCTATCGAGCGACGCATCGTTCGCTGGCGTTAGCATTGTTCATTTGTTGTCATGCAAACTAACTCCTGTATGGCAATGAAAATGGTTGACCAAACACTTGTAGTCATTAAGAAGTCATTGAAATTCATCGTAGTCTTGTGAATACTTTTTACAGCAACATAATTTCAAGTCCTAAGTTTAATATCTTATACTTAAATCAATTTAAAACAATCGGTGTTACTTTGGACACTGGAAAATGATAAAAAAAATATATTGACTACTGTAGGAATCGTGTGATGAGTGATATCATCGGTAAGAAAAATCATGGTTTATTTAAAGTAGCTCCAAACGTAAAGTGAGAATTGTTATAATTATTGTGTAAAATAGTCAATTTTACGAAAAGTCGCATTTACGTAACAAAGGTTTTGTGTGATTGTTTATTTTTATACCAAAACATTGTCCATACTTTCTTGCTAGGGCCTGCCTGCATCACGACTCGCTGAGTACATTCGAAACATAATTTTGTTTGACTCTGAGTCAGGCAGCATTATGCTTTTGTGATGTTAAGCATTAAATAAATTATTAGCGAGTAGGCATGCAAGCGAGCCTAACTGTAATTACTTTGGATCTTGGATCCATGATATATTTGACATATAACTAGTCGACAAGAAAACCTAAAAAAAAGTTTATATATTCCTATGAAAATACGCGACTTAGGATAATATTATTCTTTCATGCATAAATAAGTAAATGAGCATTTCTAATTTTACTGAGATATAAAATTAGTCTTGTATTGGCTTTTTACTGTACCTACCACTATATCAGGGTCCTTGGCATGCCTTCTTACATGGCATAACATTTTAATAACTTTTACCTATGTGAGACCTTTTTGTTGTCAAGTGTGTCTGATTCAGCAAATAATATGAAATTATTAATGTAAATAATAAAAGCCAACAAGCTCACATTAAAGAGATTCTACGAAAACTTCGATATTCATGATCGTATTACTCGCCCAATAATTTGAGGATAATTACATCAGATTTTTCTAAGATATTTGTATGATTAAGATAAGTTGTTTCTCAAGTGTCTAATACCCTGATTTACCCATATAAAAGGGACAATGCATAATGTATGTATCTGAAATTCAGAGGGTTTTTAACAACACCTCATTTCACTTTATATTTGTTATGGGGTTACTGCTTCAGTTACACCCCTAATCAAACAGGTTCCCTTACCTTTTACAATGCAATCACTTGTCTATGTCTTCCATATTGTATATGTAGCTATTCCTGTATTGTCTATCAAAACAACTTGTACAAATGATATCTAAAACAGAATGATCTGGTGTAATTGAGTGATAACAAACGAATATGAGCTTAGGGCCCATTCAATTAAAAAGATGAAATATGAAACTCATTTAGCATTCTTTCATCAAACATACAAGTAGTCATTTATTTAGTTGAATGATTAATCATTACATAAAATCAGTACGAACGGCCACAATATTGTAAATATAGTGTACATTAATTTCATTTTATTTTCAGAGAGATAATGTTTTAAATATTGTTGAGATTGATATCAATGTACTGAGAGGAAGCTCATATCAAAGGTATAGAAATTATTTATTATTTCTTTCCCTTGTAAAATATGTATATAGATATTCAGAAAATTATCGGATTTTATCGTTTTAGTGCATCCTAGACGTTGTAGATAAAAGATCTCTAAGTTGGATGTTGTGACTACACACGGAACAGACTTATGAAGGGGCGCGGCTCGGCGAATAGTCGTACGCCCGCGCTACTGCATGCCCGCTGCGTCAATTCACGCTGACCCTCGTCAACTTCTACATTTATTGATTCTAATACATGTCATAATTTTACGTACAACGTGCGTAGAAATTTTCGTTTATTGTGTCTCTTAAATTGCTGGACTTTTGGCACGAGTATGATAATGTTAATAGAATCTCTGTTACTACAGTTTGAATCGACGCAACGGGATTGGTTCGCCTCCCTTACCGCCGTAAGCGTGATGCCGCCCCAAAAATATGTATTGCAATTACTATGCTGAAAACATAACCATTTATAATATTAATTTTATCATATTTTAAAAGCTACTTGAATATTTTTATGCCAAGTATCTGGAGATCTAAAAATATACATAAGAGAATATAATTATAGTATGGATGAGCTAAAATTAATTATCTTGAGCTGAAATATATGTAATTATTTTGTTTAGGTAATGGAGTGATATTGCTTAGGAAAGCTATTTGGCGAAGTGTAAATGTATAAATAAATTAATGCTGAAACATAAGTTTTGTACGATTGTGGCATTTTCTGAACAAATATGTAATCTGTCATTGAAACTACCATTTTAATATCAGTTAAAATTTTTAGTTCTGGTCCTTCCTGTAGCTCCCATGGAATTATTTTTTCAGAAAATGTGACAAACGTTCTGTATCATAATATGTACCAATATGAAAATTTTATTTATCTGCTTTGCATCTAACTGTTTAATAATTCTTCTAGATTTTTACTCTATTCTTTACTTAAAATGACTTAGGGCCTGTTTCACATGGAACATGTACAATTTTGTTAAACTGGTGGATAATTTTAACGTATTTTCTATTCAGCCATTGTGATACAGGCCCTTAGTTTAATAAAAATTTAAAAGACGACGTTGATGCACCCATACACACAGTTGGTAGAAACGAAACCCTGTAACCTGGATGTAGGTAGATTGAAGTGAGAATTTCTGATTGCCTCATAAACCTAACAAATTGTAATTTGTGTGAACCACAACAATTTGTTCACATCGTTTTGTAAACAAACCAATACCATAATGTAAGAATTAGCCATACAATTTTATTTTTCAGTAAGTCGCATTTTGAGTATGTTGTGCCGAGTATTTATTCGTTCGTCAGAGAAAACGACGTCTTTTATATTTACATTATTTACTTCGTCGAAGTTGTCTCCGATATTTTAAAGCAAGTAATCCTATTTTAATTGTTACAAAAAGTTAAATAAAGTTTGTTTTGAATATAATTTTTAATGACAGTCGTGAAATTACCTGTTTTTGGTCGGTGTTTGTTGCAAATGTATGATGCTGGAGTGTGAGTTAATTTTACCTACCTATTAACTGTGTAGATGTTATATTAATTTAAAAGTTATTTAATAAGTGATTAATAAGGTTCTTTTCACGACTGTATCCTTTTGGTTTTGTTCAGGGCCATGAAGGCGCGACAATAATGTCAATTTTGTTCGCAACTTTCCGTTTATTTTCTTTGTAAATGTGAATAGAGTAAAAATTTAGTACCGATTTTAACTGTAAAAGATTTGTTTATATAAACAATAATGTAACCAACTGCAATTTACAGTTATGTACTTTTTCACTGTTTCCGTTTTCTTAATAAAATGTTGAAAATACAAAATCTTTGTTTTATGAAAGTATCCAATCTTGTAATCTAGTAGATAATTTGAAGGGCTTCATTCTTTCTCAAATAGAGAAACAGATCGTGAATTAGCTTATCATTATTACAGAATTTAATTAGTTTACTCCAGTATAAGAAACAAGAATGTATAATTATTTGAAGTAAATTAGCAAATAGACTCACTTAGAAAAAAAATATAAGTGTTAGTGGAAAATCATCAAATGATTTCTCCCACCCAGGGGGAGTACGGGCGGAAGGGTGTCAGAATTGACAAAAACACCCCGTTCCTATTCATGTACAACATAGGAATAC